TCAATGGCGGTGATTCTATCTAGACCATGCTAAACGTAGGTGTTTAGGAGGGTTTTATGATAATATAGAACAGAATAACAAGGAGAATCAAGGCTTGCTTGCTGCGACTTCAAGTTTCATGCTCTCGCAATCATCAGGCAACATGAAGATTGGGTGCCGATCATGCCAGTGTATATGCCAGGAGAAGGTGATGTAGCGTATAGCATATCCCCATTTGATAGCGGATCCCCGTACATTAGCATACAGAGTCTGCCTGTGCATTAAGGCTGCTGTTCACGATTCTTTTTAGCCAGTTAAATTCATTGCCAGTTATAGTTAATTTCATTGCCAGTTATAGTTACATTTCAATTGCCAGTTACAGTGTGTTCAGAAAGAGAGAGACTGCGGAGAGACTGGAGAGAGAGAAGAGAGGGCTCTACGACAGGTCACAGCGAGACAGCTCACAGCGAGACAACTCACAGCGAGACAACTCACAGCGAGACAACTCACAGTGTCGTCAACTCACAGTCAAGACAACTCACAACCAAGACAACTCACTGCGCGACAACTCACAGTGTCGACAACTCACAGCGAGGCAACTCACAGCGTCCTTATTAAGGTAATGGTGCAATGAAGACCTGCATGCAGTCCGTGGGGGTTGGTCGTAGTAAAAACCTACAATGTATATGATAATAACGCGACGTTCCGGGCACTTCTCTATTTACATGCAATGCAAAGGAGAAAATAACAGAGAACTTTAATCGAGAAAGAAGACAAAGCCTGAACAAGAAGAAGACAGTAATGAAAATAAAGTAAAATTATAAGATAAAATAAAAAATAACCTTGAAATTTCCTGTAAGAATCGCATAATTATAATTATGAAATGCCAAGTTCGCAGCAACTCCTCGTAGAAACTCACCCTTCATCCTGGTCTCAAACGACCGGAGTATGGCACGAAGTCGCTTGTCCCGATCTTCATACTTCCTCCTCTTCTTCGGAGCCTCATGACCTGCATTTTCCCTCTCCACACACTGCTCCATCATTGCCTGCTCGACAAAAATACCATCCAGGAATTTCCAAATTGTGGGATGATGGCAGTCGATGGTAGACGAAAACTTGGGGTGCCACCCTTCTTGACTGTTATTCGTTCTGTCTTCATTTTGCAGAGTGCTGTCATGGACATTCCACAACAGAGGTGGGAATAGTGGCGTTCTGCGTTGCCCATTGTGCCGAAGGGTACCAATGTAACTCTTCTCGAAGTACTCCAGGATGGGATCCATTTCTGGCGACAACGTGTCAGAGCATGTTCCAGCAGAGGCATCAGGGTGATATCAGAAGCAGCCAATCAATGAAAAGCAACCACACTGCTAAGCCGGTGTGGCTGTGAATTGTCGCGCTGTGAGCTGGTGTGGCTGTGAGTTGTCTTGGCTGTGACTTGTCTCGCTGTGAGTTGTCTTGGCTGTGAGTTGACGACACTATGAGCTGTCGGCTGTGAGTTGTCGCGCTGTGAGCTGTCTCGCGGTGACCTGTCGTGTTCCCGAGAGACTGCGGCCCGCTACAGTGGTATGAAAAGCTGTGAGAATGTGGGGGCTAGCGGTGTTTACAGCACCTACACACCCTCTGTAGTCCACAATGTTCTTTGTTTCTGCTGTTCTCCTACACTCTATGTACATGTAGATTAAGTTGAGAACTGTGTGTAGCTCCCTACATGGGAGCTCGCACTTTTCCTGCCGACTTGAATTCTCACTTGACTAACTTACGGCTGCCGTCCAGAGCACACGAGAAGTCCACCGAACCTTCGACTCGGCAGACCTGCAAGAAAGCACCGCTCCCTGCTTAATACTCAGTGTTTCGGGGAATTCACCCCTCGTCAGTTGAGCTTGAGTAGGCTGAGGAAGCTTGTGCCCGAAGAGCACCACTTACATAGTGCTCTCCAGGCGAAAACGTCACCAGGGATACAAACTCACAGAGACGCTCCGTTTCCAGCGCGACAAACACCTCGTGAACACCAGATAGCAGCGTGAGTGAGTGTCACTCTTGGAGGTGCTGAACAAACGCTGAGGACCGTTGGCCATTCACAACGTTGTTGCCTCCAAACCACCTAATCCGTAAGCTCGCGCTGGGGACAACAATGTGCAGAAGAGGTTGGTGCGACTTCGCGTAACTTCGGCGATCCTTGGGAAAATGTGTGTTGCGCCCTACGTGGGAGCTCGCGCTTTTCCTGCCGACTTGAATTCTCCCTTGACTGACTCACGACTGCCATCCAGATCGCACAAGATGTCCATATTTTAAAAGAGATCGCTAGCTTTATTCCCAGCACCTTAAAAGTTTTTAGCCACGTGTGACCAAGGGAAGTTGCTGCAGCTCTCCTGAAACTCGTCACGTCGGAGCGGTGTCACGAGCCGTTTTCCGCCACCACGGGCCCCTGCTATCTGCCGTCTGTCATTGGCCTTGATTCGATCAGACTGATCAGTAGCTCGAGAGGCCAGAGGAGGAGACGTGGCACCATCATGGTAGGCTAGACGAGGTTCGTTGTTGCTGAAAGTAGTTGCTGAAAGCAACATCCGAGCCTGATGTCGTAAAGACCGAATCAATATTTCAAAGGCCATTGCACTAGGAAAGTTTGTGCTTCTGTCTTCTAAAAGTTATAATAATTATTACTTGCTTGCAGTTTCTCCATGGTTGTAGAAAGACTAGACTACACCGTACACGCCAACACATTCGTTTCTTGTGCGTGCTCGTAGAAGAGCCTGTTCCGTCGATAAAGAAACGACAAAGGTCTTGGGTACAGCGCCCGACGCACCGACGCCCTGTATTCCTTTCTACCAAACCTCGCGGCGCTGTACCCGAGACCACCCAATCTGAACTCACCGTACATGTACATGTATCTGAGACTATTACCAGTAGACTCCACTAGCACTCAGAGTCCGACAGTACTTAGCGCAGCAGACCTATCGACAAACATTTTCGTAGCCATTCTTCTTCCTTTCCGTTCACAGGTCAACGACAACGTGTTGTTCTCCAACAAGAATAATAACGTTCTCAGCCTTGTTTGCACTGCTCCTGAGAGAGGCTGACATTGTAGATTATGATGTGTGGTCCTGATGACGACGTCTCTCTGCTCCTTGCGCGATGGTGCGCCCGTACTACTACTACTACTACCACCGTGGCCAGCAGCTTCCTGTTGAGCGAGGTGGGAAAGATGAACCAGCCAGTTGATGGGTAGTACACGGAGCGAGGAACGAGCATTTCCGCTTTTCGATTGGCTCGCCGTGCGAGATGCAACAACACGCTCAACACGAGTGAAAACCTCCTATGAGCAATGCTGGCCAGTCGACAAAACATCGTCGAGTGCGCGAAACGACACCGCGCTGAAAGCTCGTTCTTCTCCCCTGTTGCTCCCATTCGTTTACTTGTTGCAACCACAGGTTGTATGTGCTCATGTCGAAATGTTGTACTGTTGCGAACAGGGACAAGGCGCCGTTGTCCACAAACCTCAGAAGGACCGTGTGAACAAGGGTACGGCTGGTAAGATGTCGGCCATCTTCGTGCAGGCAGCTCGAGTCGCTACATTCAGCGCCGTACACTGGAGATGTGCGTGTGTGGGTTGGATAGTCGGGGCGACGGGATAGTGTGTTTCAGCGGCCGGGCTCGATGCCAGCTCGTCTTCGAAATCCAATGTGCTGACGGAACCATTCCCGTCATGGTGAACCGTTCGCGTTGCTGGACCCTGGATTGTGTCCTCACAACTTTCCCAACCCATCACAGACTGTCACTTCAAAAAGGAATTTGTGCTACGAACGGAGAAGAAAGGTCAGCACGCTAACGATCTCTGAGCGGACAGCTTTGCGAGTGTTATCGGCTGGATACACTGTGGTCAAGGCCAAGTAGTGCACTTCGTTTGCGTCCAGACCGGGAACTGGACGCTGAGCCTATCCAACTTTTCACTTCCAAGCCGCTGACACGCCGTTCGAATCAAGTCTTGCTGAAGGGAAGGAGACCAGAATTTTCCACGAGGTGAGTGTTGAACTAATGTTTGCCGCTTGTACACGTGCTTGTTTCCTTCGGGCTAGGAAATGCACAAGGAGAGCGTTTCCAGGAAGGGAAAGTGTAGTACGGAGTATTTCATTACTGGTTATGCAATAGCTACCCCCTGGAATAAATTCATGGAAGTAGCAGCACGGACACTGTATCAAACACTGTCCACACAGTATGTGCTACATGCAGCTGCGCATTACTCCATTAGGGAAGAGGAAATGTCTATGTGCTGTGTGCATGTGCATGTGTCGCACACGTCATGTCCACATCTTTGCTTGCCTGTTACTGCCAGTTTCCTGTAGAAAGATAATCATCCTGTACAGTGCAGATTGTAGTTCGGGTGAGAATATGACAGAGTGAGTTCGGTCTAAACCTGCACAATTTCCGTATCACAGACAAACACCACACATACACACACGCGCACGCACACACACGCACACACACACACACACACACACACACACACACACACACACACACACACACACACATCATGTACCATGTATGCCCGTCGCAAGAGAGGCACGTAAATCTGAAAAGCACTGAACGTACACCCACAGATAGCAGACAATGTCTGAACGAAACAGGTCAAGACTAGCGTCAGATAATACACACACACACACACACACACACACACACACACACACACACACACACACACACACACACACACACACACACACACACACACACACAAATACACGCACGCACACACACCCCATATCATGTACCTACTTTTTCAAGTCTAATATTACTGCTTGCACCATAGAGTACTTTGGCGGTGTCAATGTCTTCGCAAAATTCTATAGTGGTTTCTCGTCTTGAACAACACAAAAGTGTCTCACTCCACCTTTGTTCACTTGGCGCGATTTGTGGTTGCTAGTCAAGACAGCGCCTGATACACCTGGATGTACCGAGTACTGTCGAGCGCTGAAGAACGGACCGCCGAAGAACGGCCAGGCTAGAATTTCACCATTTTTCAAACCGGTGTCCATGTAGGCTGCATATTTTGCAGATAAGAACGGAAACCGTGGTATACACCATAATGATTGTACACTCAGACGTATAACACTGCATAGATGTACATGTAAGACTGTATCATCGAACAAGAACGAAACTGCTGTGTTCAGTTAAAAATGAGAACGGGCTAGGCTAATACCCCTCTTCCCCCTCCCCTCCCCCCCCCCCCCCACCCCCGGTCTTCGGCGCCCGACAGTACTGTACACACATGGCAAGAAGGGAAAATCCCTCTTATCCCTTTTATCTTGGCAGTCCGCGACCGGGGCATCGGGCACTGTCCATGACTTGGAAATGCCCGTAACTCCGAGCCGTGTACATGTTGATGAGGAGGGGCCAGAGATCTGGGGTATGACGTCACTACTTCAACAAAACATTGGCAAAGGAGTACAGTCAGACCTCGGTTATCCGGTCCTCTTTTACCCGGATCCCTCATCATCCAGAAGAAAATAGCTGGTTTCAGATTTACAGCATACATGACGCATCCAACATAACCGGTGTTCGATTATCCGGTTCCCTCGATTATCCGGATATTTTTTGAGGAAGACGGATGTGTGTGCGGTTAAGCGAGGTGTGACTGTAGTCATGTTTCTACCACAACTCCCCCCCCCCCCCCACACACAGGGTGCCCGGGGGACTGAGGTGCCCGTGACATGGAGGTTCGGATAAGAGAGGCATGAGTGTATGCGTGCCTTGTGAATGCTCTGAGGTGTTGACCGATGCAGGCGACTGGACCGAGAGCTTAGCTACTGCACAGGGGGTGCACTAATCAAGGTGTCGGAAGGTTACTCAGAGAGGTACTATCCGCCGTCTCAGGAGAGATTTACTTGTTGGGAGGGGTGGCTCTGCCGAAAAATTTCGCACGTTTGAGCCCAAACCAGTGCTCTTGATTCCGGAAGTACCTGGGGCAAAGAGTGGTGCGGTCAATACCGTAATGACCCTGGCGTGGCCGACATCCCTTCACTTCGTCTTAGTGTGACTTTGATGTTTCTGTTTCTGGCGTATGCTTAGATTGCGATTGACCACCACGGTTTTCCTGTGGATGTGCTAGTACTGACCAAGAGAAGGGTAAACTGCAGCAGCAGGGGTAGAGCTTTGGAACAGACACACCGCCGAACCCCCGCCCAGCCAGACACGACCATGGCAGCATCCGACCGTAGCTGGTATCAGTTGCATGGCGGATCACGTGCCATGTCCACGTCTTGTCAGCACATCCCTGCGCCGTCACCCCACCGAAACGTGCAGGCGGCGTGGCTGGATGGCGACAGCTCGCCGGAGAATCAGCCGCTAAGCCTGCGCGACAGCGCACGTCATCACGCCGTTGCCATTGACAACCGGCGAGGGCAGCAGACGCGACCGGCGTACGGTAAGCACCTTTCGCCGCACCCAGCGGCGCCGCCGAACAACCCATCCTCGCCGTCGCCTCGGCTGCGACACTCGTTTCTCAGCAGCTCGCTGGCCAATCTCCACCAGGAGAGAGTGCAACGATCGCCCAGCCTGGCGCAGTACAAGTCGCAGCATCACCCGCACCAACGACCGCACCTCAGCACGGAGGCCCTTAACCGTTCTCAGCAGATCAGTGAGACGCCAGTGCGGATCAGCGCTATGCCCGAGCACCACATTCAGCGACTGCTAGCCCGCCACGCACTCGAAGCAGAGGAGAGCAGCAGTGACACACTGAACTGTGTGCTAGTCGGTGAGCACGACAGCGGGAAGACGTCGCTGGTGAATCGGTACGTTCTGAAAGACCTGCCCGTGGGCAAGTATGAACCAACCGTCTTAGATCACTACAACGTGATGCTGACCATTGACGAACAGCCTAAGCAGCTGCGCATCTCCGACACAGGAGGTCTGGTGAGTGACTTCCCACGTGCGATAAAAGCCCCACCAATATTTTCATAATTAGTGTGATTTTAAAGGGGAAGTATGCCCTAAAATCAAATTTTCACCAGTTGTAGTCTTCGGGGTGCTGAGTCGAATGGTCTTGGTCCGAGGAAGCTGAGACGCTCCCTTCCTCCTTTATTCCCAATCGAACTCGCGCACTTCCACCGAAACTGGGTGACTGCGCCCTACTAGATGGGGATTTGTATGCAAAATGTCACTAAAAGCGCCATTTCGTTCTTATAAAAGCACGGATGACCGCCATTGGCCCAAATGTTGTAGTCTTTTGGACGCTGAGTCGACTGGTTTTGGTCCGAAAAGGCTGCGATACAGTGTTCCTCCTTTATTCCCAATCGAACATGGTTGAACAAGCGGTCACGTGCTCCTGCGTACACCAGTCAGCTGGTCACCAGCAGGGTACAACTTACTAGCCTGTTTGACCTTTTTTGGGTGCAGTCCTGTCCCTCGAGTTGAACTCGAGTTGAACCTTGGTGTGAAAGTTGTCGCCTGCTGGCGCGGTGACCAGGTGATTTGGGCACCCAGGAGCACGTGACCGCTTGTTCAACCATGTTTGATTGGGAATAAAGGAGGAACGCTGCATCGCAGCCTTTTCGGACCAAAACCAGTCGACTCAGCGTCCAAAAGACTACAACATATGGGCCAATCGCGGTCATCCGTGCTTTTATAAGAACGACATAGCACTTTTAGTGAGATTTTGCGCACAAATCCCCATCTAGTAGGGCGCAGTCACCCAGTTTCGGTGGAAGTGCGCGGGTTCGATTGGGAAAAAAGAAGGAAGGGAGCGTCGCAGCTTCCTCGGACCAAGACCATTCGACTCAGCACCCAGAAGACTACAACTGGTTAAAATTTGATTTTAGGGTATACTTCCCCTTTAAAGCAATAAAATATGGGCTATTGGGGCCCAATTTTCCTAAGTTTTCCAGTGGTATGCTCCAGCACTCCCCACCTCTCCATAGCCGCACCAATGTCGAATACCTTCCGATGCCCCGGTTACGTCAATGGCTGATCCTGAATAGAGCGAAATCCCGTTACACCCTAACAATGCAGCATGCTTGCAAGAGTCAATGCATTGATATCTGACCCACACTGTGACAGTCTGTCGTAGGGCGGGGATCTGATTCCTTCTGACCCCGGCCGTTTTATCACTGGAGGCACAATGGCACTTGCACTCCAATCCCCATGGTAACATGCACACAGGAGTCGATGCAGTGATAGCTGACCCACTCAGTTATTACAGTGGAGGCGCGTAGCACCACTGTTGGAGGTGGTCCAGCCAGAGGGGTTCTTGGGGCTGTCCCGCGGGAAAATTTTGAAATTAGGGTGCTAAATCCTGCATTCTGAGCCTTCGAAAAAAGAGGTCGGGCGAAAAAGTGGTCCGGCCAAAGCCGGACCAGCCGAACCGGCTGCTACGCCCCTGCAGTCCCCATCGTGGGGATAAGATTTCTTTGACCCCCCCCCCCCCCTGGCTGCAAAAGTCCATGCATTGATTGCTGGCCCACACCAAGGCAAATCATCCTATCCACTTGTCAATTTTAAAGCCTGCCCTGTTCAATTGGAAACCAGGTTCTGCCCAACACGCCGCAACGAAAACCCGATGAAGAAGGAGGTGTGAGGTGAGAGGTCGGGGGATGGGAGGGGAGAGTACTAAGATTGATTGTGTGTGTTTTCTGTGTGTGTGTTGTCTATCACTGTTATAATTTTTGCAAAAGGCCAAGTTCAGCACGTTCCGTCGTCTCAGCTACGCCAACGCTCATGTCTTCATGCTCTGCTTCAGCGTAACACAGCTGACGGCGTTGCGCAACATCCAGGACGTGTGGCTGCCTGAACTGCGACAGCACAACCCCAATACGCCCATTATCCTGGTGGGCATGAAGGCCGACGCTCGCCTGAGCAAGATCAGCATAGACGGCACGCCAGTGGCCGTTGTGTCGGCCGACAAAGCCAGCCGTCTTGCCAAGGAGCAGCGCGTGAGCTACGTCGAGTGCTCTTCCTACACTGGAGTTGGCTTGAAGCAAGCGTTCGACGAAGCCATCTGGCAGGTGGTCAAGCAACAACGAAAGGCCGCGGCAAAGAAGCCAGGGCATTCCATCTCGCACGGCCGGACGATTAAGCAGGAACTCAAACGTGCTCTGAGCCGGACAACGAGTAGTAATCCGACGGCATCACCCGCCACGACTCAATACTTCCGACACAACAGGCAGCAGAATCAGCTGAGTCTGGCCCCCACCGCCGTACCCATGATCACACCAGAGATGCCCGCGGGAGCAGCGGCAGACCGGTTTCAGCCTGGGGACGTGGGCGCATGCGCTGCTGCTGCTGCGTACCCCCCACACGCCGGCGGGCAAAAGAAGCCGTCGCGCAAGATCGTCGGAAAGCTCCGGAAAATGTTCCGTCGCAACGCAGCCAGCGCATCGTCCAACGACGTGGAATTGTCCTACGCGGCCGTGAAAGCACCTGCGTCCGCGCCGTCGCCGAAGAAGAAACTCCTCAAGATGTCACACTCCATGAACGTATGAACACTTGCGGTGGGCATCAGCAATGCCCCACTGCAGTAATGTTATAAGTTAGTAATATATATGCTAGGATGACTGCGCGACTAATGATGATTCCGTTATGCAGCGCCCGCTGCACGCGATGGTGAAGTCAGTGATGCAGCAGCTCGTACCCGTAACCGACGTTGTTTGTCAACTCCGCTGCCGTGACCATCAGCGGTTCACCCGTCGATGCTGGACACCCCTCTGAAAAAATACTAGCACATTGGCGACGAAAGTGCAACTCGGGGGAAAAATGTCTCACCCCACGAACATAAGAACAACTATGGAAAGACTGGGTCACGAGTTGGCATCACCTGTTCTCCCGTCGACGCGTGGCAACATCTATTGCTGCCGGATATCGGATATGGCACCCTGGTTGTTCTGGAGCTGGTGACAGTTGTTCTGGAGGGCCCACTGTGACCAGTAGGTACATCCGGACACACCCTAAAATCACTTGAATCTGTGTGCACTACTGGCCCAGTGCGTATGGAAGTTTGAAACTGTTTTTTAATCACCTATCGCATTCGTTGAGCATAGCACTGCTTGCGTTCTTCTTCTGCCGCTATATCGACCTGAAACTGTGACGAAGGCAATGCCGAGAGTGCTTGTGGAATTGAAACGTTGGTTGTAAAGAAAGTGAAACTTCTTCTGTTCACTAGTGTGATAACAAGGTCTAACGATTCACAATTTGTCGAACTGATTATAACAGTTGGCACATAGCCACATGCCGAAGCTAGAGCACACATGGTTGCTTATTTGTTCCTGCTGCTTTTATCGTTCCGTTTAGCCACCCCTGTTGACAGGTCTTGCACACCGAGCGTATACGCGAACTTGCGGGCCGCTGTCCATTTAATGTTAATCAAACCCAAAAATGCTAAATTGAAAATTCTTATCCAATACTATGATGGATCATCCGGGCTGAACGTCTGTAAGTTTTAAAAAATGGCGTGTGTGTGGCCTGAAAAGGGTTGGTGCCAGGAAACACAACTCGAGTAACGCATACCGTATTATCTCTAATATAAGCACGGTCCTTTATTTTTTCAATGTACCTACGCCCCGTGCCATTAATGGAGACGTTCCTTTATTGGAGACTGTTCCATTATTATTTCATCCTCATTTCAGAGGCATGTTGCCATGCCAAATTCATGTCAGACACACACATGTCAGGGTTTTTTTTCGCCGGTACAGACAATGAATTTACACAGTGTGCTTATAATGGAGACTGAGCACTTTATTTTTTGAATGCCGCCCCAAGGTGTTCTACTATTGGAGACGTGCTATTATTGGAGACTGTGCTTATATTAGAGATAATACGGTAGTCCAAGTCTCTCTCTCTCTCTCTCTCTCTCTCTCTCTCTCTCTCTCTCTCTCTCTCTCTCTCTCTCTCTCTCTCTCTCTCTCTCTCTCTCTCTCTCTCTCTCTCTCTCACCACACAGACCAGACCCCCTCCCACACCCCCACGTACCCACACCCCCACGAGCAGCCCCAGCACAGAGTTAAGAGAGAATAAAAAGATCACTTTAGACTTTTCGAATAGGACATGGCTCCACCTGAACGGTACGCAAAACAGAGCAACTACAAGACAACTGACAATGGCGAGGCGTGGGGATAAAAAAACAGTCAAAGTACTGAGGTGGTGCCAGCGTACGAAGAAAACGGCTCACAAAACACTTAAAGACAGTCGAGCAATGTTCGGACTTGTAGAGAGGTTGGTCGGACTGATCAAGCTTGGTATAACCATGTATAGCAGCTTGCTCCCTTATACAGCAGCCTGCTCCCTGATAATAGCAGCTTGCTCCAGCATGTACAGTGCAGGAAGGTGAATGCAAGATGGTGGCCACACTAGACAGAGGATGGCAGCAAACAAACACGAAGAAATGTCGCCAAATTCAAATAGGATGAGATAGCATAGGGCTTGCTGGATCAACGGCAGAATGATAGTGAAATACTGTGTACATGCTTCGGTGTGGGATACGCGGACACAGACGCGTGCAGAACAAACGCACGCACACACACGCACACGCGAACGTTCTAAACTACAATATTATACAATATACACGGGGACACATCCACAAGTTGCCAATCGAATTGCAACAGTGCGTGTGCTCGACAGTGGTCACAAAGAGCAGAGGATTCCACTGGTGTTTATAGTACAATGAGATAAACAACACTGTACCTCTACACGGACAAGAGGATCAGCAATCCACCAGAGTAGCTACATCCATGTATACTTGGCCTAGATCTGAAAGGACTGAAGCAAGCCATCCAGCCGTATAAACGTACACCCACACCCATACATGCGCGAATGCACACACACACACGCGCCTTCCCTGGATGGCACCATGATTCGCGCCTGTTCATCACGCGATTTCGTCTTCATCGGCTTCGTCCTCGCTGCCGCTGCTGTCCACGTCCTCGTCTCTCACGACAAGCACGGCCGCCGGGGCCAGGCCGGCCGCGACGATGCATTGAACGTTCTCTCCGGTGGAGACCAGCTCGCGTTTCGGGTAGGTGGTAAGCATAGTGAACTGTGCCGGTGCCTCCTCGTGACTGAATACAAAGCTGTGCACGGTCGATAGGGACTCAGTGCCGAGGAAGCGACGCTCGAGCCGCGTGTTGTCCGGCAGACGAATGCTGAGTCGCACCACGTTACCGTCAACCGCGGCCGGCTCTGCGAGCAAGCTATCGGCGGCCTGCTGGCGACTGCGGCGTAGCGTCTCTGCTCGCTCCAGGCGATTGCGCTTGCGCAGTTCACGCTCGGCCAGCTGCTGCTCGGCGGCGTCGCGCTGCGCCTGCAACCTGAGCTCGCGCTCGCGATCGCGCTGCAGCGACTCGTTGTACTCACGCTCCTGCTGCTCACGGATCAGCCGATCCTGGCTGATGCGCTCCAGGTTGACGCGTTGCTGGGCAATGTCTGCGCGCTGCGACTCCACTAGCATGGTGAGCGCAGCCAGCACGGTGCCGCGAGACTCCAGCTGCGGCAGCGGGATGCGCTGAAGCGCCACCAGGCTGTTGCCATGGCGGTACGCCAGAGTGCACAGCATCGGCTGGCCCCAATTGCGTATCGTCACGGAGACGCGACGGCCCTCCGGCGACTCCATGCCGACGCCGAACACCAGCATGTTGTCGTTGACAAACGTGGCCACTTCTTCCGAGCACAACACGTCGCGACATATCGCCGGCGTGCTTTGATTCTGTCCGTCGTGGCAATACACCAACAGTAGCTTGACTTCTTCCTTGGCGCGGCGGATAGCCTGCGCATAGCTGCAGACCATGAAGTTGGGCACGTGCGGGCTGTCCGGCCCGCCGTACCGCCGGCCAAACTCTTCGACAAACTTACGCACGTCACCCTCGGGGTCTGGCACGTCCAGCAGCATTCCGGCGCCTGTCAGCAAGGTGTACACGAACCGCGCCACAAACCATATGCCGCTTTGAAACAGTCGAAACGGCGAACTGACTACATTCCAACACCACTGCATCCATCCTGCGGCTGGTCGCTGCGGTGCTGACAGCGGCTGATGGCGGTCGCCTCGACCCATCCCTCTGGCCAGTGGCGTCGAGCGAGCTGCTGCTGCAGCGTCCGCCACAGCTCGTCTGTGACGCAGCAGCTGTGCTGGCATGTCGTCCTGGCCGTCAATTCCGGCTATGGCGGACGGTGGACTCGGCTCTCCGGCCGTCTCGGGTGCGTACGGATGCTGGTTGTGACCGTAGACCGGCGCCTTGCCCTCCTGCTCGTTGAACGTGTCCTGGACGGCCATTTCGACATTCCAACCGTGGGCTTCCAGCACGCGACGGCACTCACCCATGTCCTCCCTACCCGTGAAGGCCTGGTACTGCGCTACAAGCTGGTCATGATCATCACCACTACTTGCCTCAGCCTCCATTGATGCTGCTGCTCACGATCTCAGATTCAACTAAAAAAATATGAAAAAGAATTCGACCTACAAAGTACAAGAAGAAAATGTTCGAAACGCAACAGAACTAAAACTGCCCGGGCCCCTTCTGGAGCAGTGTCCCGCGGATCAGCACTATCGTATCGAGAAGGATAATGAAGTATTGAAAGCAGTGCGGCTTCCAGCAAGTAGAGCAGTATCCCCTTTCCCAACGCAAAATGATGGAAGGTCTTGATTGCAGTTTGCAGTTTGTAGCTTCATCAAGAAATGTTTTGAAATAAAACCTCTCTTCTCATTTCTGTGTTCATCAACAAAAAATTCAATTGTGAAGATGATGAGGTCGACCACATGACGTCGTTTAGCTAACGTGTCATTTCGATACGTAGCTTACGTAGCGCTAGCGCGCGACGGGACTCGCGCTCGCAAAAATATCGAATGGTTTTGAAAAAGTCTGGAAACAAATGAAGGGGTATTCTGACGTCACTATCACCTGTCCCTCAAAAACATTCTTTTTATTTATTTCCCTTGCGTATAAAACTTGACACAGACGATCGCGAGTCGCGACATGCCGACACTCACGGCGACAGACGTAGACGTCAGTGCTATTTTGTAGTGTCAGTGCTTGTACTGTAGAATGTAGGGCCTAGCCTACTGCCACTAGTCACTGCATGCGGCCCTACTTGAAGGCTATGCATGCTGCATAGGCCTACAATGCGGGGCCAGGGAAACACTGTTCCGCACACGTACACGCGCGCACATCATTCGCACTTCTACTTCGTCGTTGTGTGTGCGGCAATAATTTTTGGCCGACCATTGTCTCTGCGTGTGGCTTGGAACAGTGACAGTATCTGTTACTGCAAGAATTGTAGGAACTGAACGGACCGACGAAGAAATGGCTGCGGCAGGAGGCACCACGTCCTTCTGCAGCAAATGCCGCGAGCCGTTTGCGTACCAGGAGAAGATCCTCAACTCAGGTGGACAGAGCTTCCACGAGCGATGCTTCGTGTACGTACTGTGTTTGCACTGTTGCCCGGTTTTCGATTTTCTCTGCCTTTGCTCACTGCCATTCTGTGTTGTTTTGAGCCGCATCCACTGATGCATGGTGGTTCTGTTCGTCTAAGCTTACGCCAGGAGCGCGTCCTTGTTCGTGCTGCTCTAGCTACTAGTGTTGTTCATTGCACGAATGTGTTCAGGTCCTAAACAAAAACTAATATTATTGTGACTCGAAATAATAATATTATGGAGATCATCTCTCTCTCTCTCTCTCTCTCTCTCTCTGTCTTGTACTCTGTCTCGCTTGCGCATTCAGTCCGTGAGCCATGTGCACCTATTCCGTGTGTGTGTGTGTGTGTGTGTGTGTGTGGATTTCTTTCCGCCGTTTCACTGTACGCTGTTTTTCCATTGCGTGTACAGGTGCGTCCAGTGTTTCCAGCCGTTTCCAGAAGGACTTTTCTACGAGGTAAAAATCTTTGTGTGTGTTGACTGTTGTGCTCCGAAGCGACAAAGCTGCTTTTGATGAATTCAAAGTCTGCTGATGCCCGTGCATCCCTGTAGCTTATTGCTAGGTTGTGCTGTGTGGAGTGTTTGGTATCGTGTGTTGTCTGAGCCCCGTAATCGTAGCTCGCTCTGGGTTTTTTCTTTGCCTACCCTGCAATTTTTTTGTGGACGGGCGCACACACACCGAATCTAAGACAAGACAGTGAGATACGAGGATTGAGCAATGATGTTGAAGTTGTGCGGCAGGGCAGTAGACCTCTGCTCGTAGGTGACTGATTTGCTGTATCGCTATACTACATAATTGTAGTAAGGTTTGTGCAGTTCTTCGTAGGGTGTGTGCAGTGCCAGTGGGGACGGGTTTTGCAAAGCCCTACAAGTGCCAAGCGGGGCACCGCTGCCCTGACGACTTTTCGCAGAACTAGCATGCAAGTACAGAGCGTCCCATACACATGTGCGTTCACAGGGGCTAGTGTTTGAGAAACTGATGCGATGGCTAGCAGCTAGAGGACTAGCTACAGTATCTTGGGCGGAAAACGAACATTTTGCACGGTTCTTTTATGAAGATAAAAGAGTCTGTCGTGTGTTGGTGTTTATGCAATGACCGTGTAGCTTGGGCAGTGAGAGAGTGTGGCATGAACAGATGCTGTTGCATGAACAGATGCTGTTGTATTGTGGAGTCCCCTGTGGCTGCACTTGGCAGTGGTCAGAACCTCTGGGGGGTGATGACAGGGGACATCATTAGATATGATGGAACTGCCATTGCCTTTTTATAGATACAGCATCCATCCATATCATAATCCGGGGAAAAAATCACTCATTTTCGATACAACCATGTGGCATGTGACCAGGAAACTCCCCCACCCCCAACCCACCCCCACTCGCCCTCCAAACAGCTGCAGCTTGACAGCCGCAGGGGCGTCGAAAGGTATTTTAGGGTGGTGCGGTCAGTAATCTGAAGTACAGTTTACTCGTGGGGGAGGGATGGCTGAGTGGAATTTTTGGAAATTTGGAGTCTAGACCAGTGCATTTTATTGATTCACGGGGTACCTGGGGCAAAAAGTGGTACGGTCAATACCGTAGTGACCGTACCGCGTCCGACGCCCCTGCAGCCCCCACCGTTTGCTGTCTGTCTTGGTCTTTTTCGAAGGGTTGTTCAATAAAGAAGCTGAAGGAGGATAGAGAAATAGCGGGGATTAATCGGACAGGGTCGGTGATGGACGTATGTTCTGTAACCTTGTTCCGTCGCTTTCTGGTCATTGTGTGTGTGTGTGTGTGTATGTGTGTGTGTGTGTATGTGTGCAGTTTGAGGGTCGCAAGTACTGCGAGTATGACTTCCAGACACTGTACGCGCCGTGCTGCGGCGGCTGCGGGAAGTTTGTCATCGGCCGCGTGATCAAGGCGCTGGGTCAGAGCTGGCATCCGGACTGCTTCCGCTGTATCAACTGCGACAAGTCGCTGGCCGACGTTGGCTTTGTCAAGATGTACGGGCGGCCATACTGCAAACCCTGCCACGCCGAACTGAAGGGTGAGTGAATATTCATGATGATCATAAGTAGGGCTGAGTTGGGTAGCATTTTCTTCGGGTATCGGGTTCGGGTAGTTTTCCACGGGTAGCACGGGTACCCGATCGGGTAATGTTTCCATGGTAACAGCACAATGCACCCCTTCCATTACACACTGGGTAGACACGCGGAGTATTACATGAATTTGTACACGTGATATCATCTGCGCCTTCGGGTTTTCGGGTACTATTCTGTACCCGTCTACCCCAGGTTCTCACGGGTAGCACGGGTACCCGACTACCCGTGCACACTACTAATAATAATTATAAGGCTGTGTGTAGGATGAGAATTTCAATTCCATGTCACAAACTGTAGTCATGTTTGCGTCTAACCGTTAGCCACACACATCATTGCACCAAAGGCATGGCTTCGTTGCGGTTCACTCCACTGTGTAATGGCTGAGAGCCGTGTGGCATCACCGTTTTCATGCTTGCATACTAAATGCCTGTGTGTGTGTGTCTGTATGTGTGTATGTGTCTGTATGTGTGTATGTGTGTGTGTATGTGTGTGCGTGTGTTTGTGTGTGTGCATGTGTGTGCGTGCCGTACGTGTATGTGTGCGAATGTGACTGTTTTCGCAGATTCGGGCAAGCACATCTGCCAGAAGTGCAAGTGAGTATCCGAATGTGGTTACCATGTATTATATAAAGCAAGTGAAGATCAGCATCGATATTCAGCCATTGGGATGGTACGGTAACCTCCTTAAGAGGCGATTTGCACAACGCCAATGCATCCCGCCGGGCAGTGAAGCATGGGATCCGGAGAGCTTGCCGTGACGCGGGAAAAACGAAAATAAAATCACACGGCAGGATGCACGTACAGTACCTGAAGTACAAAGTAGTCCACGGAATACCATGGTATGCATTTCCATACCCCCCCCCCCCCCCCCCTCAGCCTCCCTCACAGTAACTGGATCGTACCGGGATAGCTTGCAGCATACGTTCGCGCCGAAATTTGAGTACACGTGATTGGTTCTCCACGACAGCATCACGCACGTGATGAATCCTGCCGTCGTGTAAATCGCCTCTAGTCATGCCAGCCATGTTCTCTGCGGCTAACCATACACCGTCACCAATGAGATCCGAGAGATCGAAACGGCTGCATGAACGTGCACGTTGTCCTGAAGAAATGTTATGCAATTACTTTTTCTAATGTTCGGAGTTCTGTGTTGTGTGTGTGTGTGTGTGTGTGTGTGTGTGTGTGTGTGTGTGTGTGTGTGTGTGTGTGTGTGTGTGTGTGCATCCCTGTATGCGGTTGTGCGTATGACTGCACGCATGCATGTGTGTGTGTGTGTGTGTGTGTGTGTGTGTGTGTGTGTGTGTGTGTGTGTGTGTGTGTGTGTGTGTGCACGCACATGCGTTTGTCTGTTTCAGCTTGCCAATCCATGGCGATCATATCACGTACAAGTACAACATAGTACATCCACATCATTTCAATTGCAAGCAGTGCGCGTAAGGACACTATTGCCAACATTCTGTTTTGTCCAGTTTGTACTAGTGTCTAGTGTGTTGTGTTGCCCTGATCAAGTTCTGGTGCTTTGTGAAAGGAACGTCCGGAGTTGTACATTATTTAGCCCCATTTGTCAAGTTCTCTCTCTCTCCATCTCTCTCCATCTCTCTCCATCTCTCTCTCGCTCTCTCGCTCGCTCTCTCTCTCTCTCTCTCTCTCTCTCTCTCTCTCTCTCTCTCTCTCTCTCTCTCTCTCTCTCTCTCTCTCTCTCTCTCTCTCTCTCTCTCTCTCTCTCTCTCTCTCTCTCTCTCTCTCTCTCTCTCTCTCTCTCTCTCTCTCTCTCTCTCTCTCTCTCTCTCTCTCTCTCTCTCTCTCTCTCTCTCTCTCTCTCTCTCTCTCTCTCTCTCTCTCTCTCTCTCTCTCTCTCTCTCTCTCTCTCTCTCTCTCTCTCTCTCTCTCTCTCTCTCTCTCTCTCTCTCAAAATTATGTCTGTCTGACTCTCTGCTAAATGTCTTCTTGTCTGTCTGCCTGTGTATGTGTGTGTCTGTTGCTCGCAGAAAACCACTGACTGCGCAGTGCAAGATCCGGGACGACGAGCTGTACTGTTTACGCTGCTACGACAAGCTTGAGTCGGCAATTTGCGGTGCTTGCAGGTACGGCAGGTCTCCTGCATGTATACAGTGAAACATGCATGTTACATGCCTACAAGGCCGTACCGATCTGTACTTGGTAACTGGGGTCCTCTCCATCCGTGGCCAAGTACCGTAAAGTACCGTTGATCCGCCCCCCCCCCCCCCCCCACGCCATGTCGCTTCCCAGCTGGATTTCCGGCAGCCCCCCCCCCCCCCCCCACGCCATGTCGCTTCCCAGTTGGATTTTCCGCAGCGGGCGGGAATTAGATCAAGGCTGTCAAATGCAGTGCGATGTAGAACGACGTGGCTGTTCAGACTCGAAGTGCTGGTTTGTGCACATTTTCATCCTGCACTCGCGCGTATTGTGTACGGCAGTGCATGCGTCGGTTCAACATCGTATTTCGTTGTGGACGCCGAAGTCGCTTCACAGGCAGAAAATCGACAGGGGGCGGCAATTAGAGAGGGAGCGAATCAACGGTACTTTACGCTAACTGCTGTAGTATACTGCAGGTGTACAGTTCTGGCCAGAGAAATCCAACCTCCGCAATAAGGTAGCGCCGCGTTTGTGTGCACAGAACAGTGTGTCTAGTACTAGGTCTGCGTAGCACCCGACGCAATTTCATTCATGAGGTTGGATTCATTGGCCTATTTTGTGTGTGTGTGTGGGCGTGTGTGTGTGTGTGTGTATCTGTGTGTGTACGTGCGTGTGATTGTACTGTGGACTGTGTCTGCTGTATAGGCGACCAATCGAAGGGCGTATCATCCATGCCCTGGGCAAAATGTGGCATCCCGAGGTGAGCATCATTGTCTTCTATCCTGCTTGTTGTGTTCTTTGTGCCCCGGTGGTCTCTCTACCTATGTACCTTTCATCTCTTTATCTCTATCCCTGCTGTCTCTCTACCTCTGTGTGTGGCACTCCACTGAATTTGATTTGGCCTCGGAGACGACTTCCTGCTCATGGGACGTGTGACATTTCCGTAGCTGCATTTAGTATCATGATGACGTAATTCTGTAAATGAAGACGTTATACACAATGTCTAGAGGCGGTGCAGTTACCTCTTCGTGTATACACTGACATCATCATTGGTGTTGTTTGCACGGGATGACATCACTGGTGCTTGTTTCTCACTCTATACGAAGAATACAGTCTGTATCGGCTATAGAGTGACCGGATATAAGAATATATCGGCTACAGTGATATTGGTACGAAATATCAAAAGCAAAACGTATTTTGTCCAGTACAAATATCACTATAACCAATATTACGAAGTAGTGGTTGCGACTTCGGCGATGATTTGTAAGAAAGGTTTGCTTTCTTGCAGGTTTGCCGAGTCGAAGGTTCGATGGACTTCTCGTGTGCTCTGGATGCCAGTCGTGAGTCAGTCAAGTGTCAAGTAAAGTCGGCGGAATAGCGCGAGCTCCGGTGTGGGGAGCAAACCTTTCTTACAAATCATCGCCGAAGTCGCAACCACTACTTCGTACTGTTGTGCCCAGCGCGGGCTTGCGACTAGTTGGTTTGGAGGTGACAGCGTTGCGAATGACCGAGGGTCCTCGACGTCTGTCTCACCGTCCAGGAGCGACACTGACTCACGCTGCTATCTGGTGTTCACGAGGTGTTTATCGCGCTAGAAGCGGAGCGTCTCTGTAAGTTTGTATCCCTGGTGATGTTTGTGCCTGGAGAGCACTATATAAGTGGTGCTCTTCAGGCACAATCTTCCTCAGCCTACTCAAGCTCAACTGATGAGGGGTGAATTCCCCGAAACACTGTGTATTGAGCAGGGAGTGGTGCTTTCTTGCAGGTTTGCCGAGTCGAAGGTTCGATGGACTTCTCGTGTGCTCTGGATGCCAGTCGTGAGTCAGTCAAGTGTCAAGTAAAGTCGGCGGAATAGCGCGAGCTCCGGTGTGGGGAGCAAACCTTTCTTATAACCAATATTATCGGATGTAATGATATATCGGATATTATGATGGCAACAAAGAATCAAAACATGCATAACACACTATATTATTATCGGCTATAGTGATAACTTTAAAATACATGTAGCAATAATATCAAAGGCCCTATTTTTTAACTTTCTTCACGTTGCTTATTTTTATAGTGATACATGTACATAACAGAATTTTTTTATGGAAATGCGGGCACTGTCAACTATGCAGCATGCTCATTTGTCAAAACGCCATGCTAGCTGGAAGTATTTCCTTGCCTTTCATGTGTCGATCGAAAAAAGAAAAAAATCGATCGTATCGCATATAGTGATGCATCGGTTATAGTGATAAAATCACGGAAATCAAAAGGGTACGCTATAGCCGATACAGACTGTATACGATAATATTCACTCAATGCAAAGCATACACGATATCGTTGGCATAACCGTACAAGCTAGAACATGGATGTTTTCTTCTATGTGTTTCTTGTTGTAGCATTTTGTGTGTGCCCATTGCGAGCGTCCATTCGACGGCCGGCGTCATTTTGAACGCAAGGGACTAGCGTACTGCGAACAACATTACAACATGGTAAGTGTCTTTGTGTGTGTGTGTGTGTGTGTGTGTGTACGTTTGTGTTTGTGTGTGTGTGCGTGTATGCGTGTGTGTGTGTGTGTGTGTGTGTGCGTGCGTGTGTGTGTGCATGTGTGTGTGTGTGTACGTGTGTGTGTGTGTGTGAGAGAGAGAGAGTGTGTGTGCGTGTTTGTATGTCTGGGTCTTTCCTGATTAGTGCAGTGCATTGTCAACTGTTATTGGCTGTTTTTCACAACTACAAGAATACTCCACCTAGAACCACCCCATCAAGAGGTCTATTAGCCTAGCACAAGTCTCAGCACTCGGCTCGGAAAACCAGAAGACGAGGCAAAGAGCTATAAAGATATCTAACGGCTGGAGATTTTTTTATGCCGGAATTCCCCGTCAGGCGAAATAGCACGTCATCGTACATTTGAGATCAGCGGGAAGAAGATGACGACGTCCACTAATTTAGTATCTGTGCACACGAATCTGCTGTGTGTGTGACTCTGTGTGTCAGCTATGATATCATCTTCTGTGGTTCCATGCCTAGCATGTACGTCTGAACCATCCTGCAAAGTTTGAATGACGTAGGTTGAGCGATCGCTCCGCGAAATATACTTTTTGAAATTCTCTTCATAGTATATCTTCCACCATTGAAATTTCGAATTTCTTCAAAAAAAGTGCTGAGAGGGGTGGCTTGCAACCTCGATATGGCTTGTTCCAGGTATGCTTTGGAGCCATCTTCAGTTGAAGTAGTGGCGGGGATCTGCCCTGCAACTGCTACAACAAAAAATGATTCGATCTGAGAAAGGGTGAGACCGCGAATCTCGGTTGAATATTGAGTATTTCAAGCCTTTTCACGACGAAGATGGAGTTCTTTTTGGAGATGGACGTCGCGGCAAAGGACATGGTGTCCGACGTCTGGCGTCTGGTGAAGCCAGGGATCATTTGTCCAGTCAGGTCGGCAGCCTAACCGTCGGTAAGCTTGTGTTTGGATCCCGTTCTGCTCGATGTGGTAGATCACAAACAATTTGATATCGCACAAATTGATCTCAGCATCGTGCGTACGGTATTTTATATTCAGAAAATCCCAAAGTGTCTCTGTGTGGCCGTCCTATGCCACGAGAAACTCCAATCAGACTCCTATGTCCTCTGCCTTCATGATTGAATGTCCACTTCGTTTGAACAACGAACACAACAATCGAGGACGGCTTTGCAATGAAAAATACAGGTATACTGGAGCTGAAAAAAGAAGAAAAAAACGTGCTCAGGATGAGACTCGAGTACACGCATACTCTCCCAGCAGGTGAAACGCAAATTTTTGTGAAAAATGCGTGACGCCGACTGACCAGTAATTTCGCCTGACGCCCTACTTGGCAAGGTGCAATTATGTCCCCAGTATTCACGACTTCAATCTTCGACTCTCGTATACAGTCAACTTTGCGTATAACGACACTCGGCGGGTCATCAGAAAAGTGTCCTTATTCGTGAAGTCTCATTATAATTATGTATTACAGTTAGATGGAACTTTGCTCTGGGCATGGAAATTCTGTCGTTATTCGCGAATTGTCGTTATATCCGCATCCGCAGTCGTTGTTAGCGAAGTTGACTCTATGCGTTGTTATTGTTGTTGTGCTGCAGCTCTTCGGAGACACCTGCTTCTACTGCACAAAGATCATCAGTGGAGAAGGTAACAACTGCTCTGCGCCTAGATATACACTGGGGTAAATTTCCCGGGGGAGACACCCCCGACCCCCCCCCCCCCCTCCGGCCGGACCACCTCCAACCTGCACAAGTGGCTTAGATAACTTATGCGCAGAACTGATGGCACCATAGCACAAATGTCAGGGTATTTTCCAATGCGTATAAGCCCATTGCGCATTGCCAAATATGGGAGGTATGAGTAATGCATGTGAGTACACTGGGATCAGCAATGCACTGTTCAACACCCCCAGACGACCATGCCCAGGTGTGGCTGTGTGGGGTGTTATGTGAGTACGCTGGGATCAGCTATGCACTGTTCAACACCCCAGACGACCATGCCCAGGTGTGGCTGTGTGGGGTGTTATGTGAGTACGCTGGGATCAGCTATGCACTGTTCAACACCCCAGACGACCATGCCCAGGTGTGGCTGTGTGGGGTGTTATGTGAGTACACTGGGATCAGGAATGTACTGTTCAACCCCCAGACGATCATGCCTCAGGTGGCTGTGTGGGGTGTTATGCGAGTACGCTGGGATAAGGGATGCACTGTTCAACACCCCAGACGACCATGCCCTGGTGGCTATGTGGAGTGTTCACGGTACAAATAACGTCACTGCGCAATGGGCTTATTCCAACTAGCTGGCTATCTAGATTTTTGCATTCCACGTATCAGTTCACACTAGTATTAGTAAGATATTGTTTTGCCGCAACGTTGGCAGACTTGCCTGGCCCGTTGCCATGCGACGAACCGGCTGGTCGACGCCAGTATAAACTTGCTGCTACAAAAAAAAAAAAAAAAAAGTTAAGTGTGCACATCCATGTTACCACCGGCTTACGATTTAGTTGAGAAACACAACCAGCTTAGAGAAGTTTCTACAGGGCAGCTGTAATGTAGATCTTCTTTGATCTGAATTCTTCAGCCTGTTCTGCATTGTCACAGCTTGTTCTTTTCCAGTATGTGTGTTTGGACTAATGTTGGTAATGGTATTTGTAGTGGTGGGCAGTTGTCACAAAGTCTGTCATGGACCAGGGTATTGTTTGTGGATGAATTGATCAAGTTTCTTTCCCTGTTGTGTGTGTGTGTGTGTGTGTGTGTGTGTGTGTGTGTGTGTGTGTGTGTGTGTGTGTGTGTGTGTGTGTCTGTATGTGTGCACGATGTATGTGTGTGTATGTGCATGTGTACGTGACCCACTGCTGCCGTCTGACAGCGTGTGCTGACATGGGCAAGTCGTGGTGCACCCATCATTTCCGGTGCAAGGCGTGCGAACAGCCTCTCTCCATCAAGTGAGTTTGTACCCCCAGCCGTGCACAGTGACAGTTGGGTTGCCTGGCTGCTGTCTACTGTAATTTCCCAAATTTTCGGTGTACTAATAAAATTAATAATTATAATTATTTTTTGGTACTTTCGGTGCGTCTATTTCATACCTAAAATTTCAATACACCGAACAAACACTAACACACATAATCCAATAGGGAACTGCTTCCCTGTACCGAAAATTTCCGTTCACCTAACCTGGCCTTTTGCCCTCATACCGAAAATATTGAGCACCTAAAATTTCTGAAATTAGAGTATCGTCATTTCACGTACATGCACTCCACAGACAGTATGGCTTAAGTAAATGGAGCACAAGAGGTATTTAAAATCGAGCTTTCAACAGAAGAGAGGAACGGATGGTGTAGCATCAATTGTGTAGCAGCGTGAACCGGCAACTCCATTGAGTTTGTGATGGTGACGGCTCCATTGTTGGTGCTGCTTGGAGACTTTGTATCTGTATTAGAGATTGTATCTATGTGCTGTACTGTCAAAGCTGGTCCTGACTTTCTGTTTGGTTTTTTCGTGCCCGTTTATGTGTGTGTCTGTGCGTGATCTCGTGCGTGCGTTTTTATTTCAGGCAAAAGTACCTGGAGTATGACATGCAGCCAATCTGCAAGAAATGCTATGAACGGCTTCCGCAGGAGCTGCGTCGTCGGCTGAAAGCACTTGACGAGGGCACATCGCTCAAGAAGGCCAATATCCGTGATGTAAGCACAATCAGAAACATGACGTTGGGTGTAACATGTACATGTGGGGGTCCGGTTGTTGCAAAGGTTTTTGTCGTCCCTGAAGCGAACATTTCGTACTCCGATCCCCCTCCCTCTGTAATGAACATTCATAGCTGTGTCGGTTGACGAGAGATTTTTATTAACACGAGTACCCGATGCTGTAGACAGCAAGCTGTTTCGGCCGTAAAGGCCTCATCAGTACAGCTACGAGCTTTAAGTAGGCTGCACTACCATCTTACGGTTCTTACTTTCACTCGTACACTCGTACTTTTACCAAACATTCACCACCGAGTCTACGTAGCCAGCCACCAGCAACTTCATTTCGTGGTCGCTCAACTGTCTGTGTACACTGTATGAGTCTCGGTGACCAACTCTTCATGCACCCTACAAACAGACAGTGGATGGGATGATCTCTGTTTCATTCTTCAGTTTCCAGTTGAGCAGTTTAAGCCAGGACATGGATGATTCCTGTTCTTGGGAGATAATCGCCTGTGTCATTAACGTGCACGTATTTTGCGTGTGTGTGTGTGTGTGTGTGTGTGTGTGTGTGTGTGTGTGTGTGTGTGTGTGTGTGTGTGTGTGTGTGTGTGTGTGTGTGTGTGTGTGTGTGTGGTGTGTGTGTGTGTGTGTGTGTGTGTGTGTGTGTGTGTGTGTGTGTGTGTGTGTGGTGTGTGTGTGTGTGTGTGTGTGTGTGTGTGTGTGGTGTGTGTGTGTGTGTGTGTGTGTGTGTGTGTGTGGTGTGTGTGTGTGTGTGTGTGTGTGTGGTGTGGTGTGTGTGTGTGTGTGTGTGTGTGTGTGTGCGTGCATATACGTGTGTACACGTGTGTTATGTCCATTCCGTTAGGTTCGCCGCGAGGACATTCCCATGCTGACGGCCGGTACAGGCACGATGGGCGGTACCATGCGAGACGGAACGATGTCCGGTGGAGCTGCCCACGGCGCATCATCATCTGGCAGCGCAGCTTCCTCTTCGCTACCACATAGCATGCACAACCGCAGGTTGCCCGAAATCCCGTCCGATTCCGCGGACGGAGCCGGAGCCTCTGGCTCCAACTGGCGCCCGTCGATTCAGGCGGACGTGTGACGGGAACCTCGTGCCTGTGCACGTCTATGTGGTGTGGCTTAGGAGCTGTCGTATGTTGCGTGTTTGTGTGTGTGTGGGGGGGGGGGGGGATGTGTGTGTGTGTGTGCTGTGTGTGTGTGTGTGTGTGTGTGTGTGAGAGAGAGAGAGAGAGTTTGCATGGGACTGGACCATCCTCCCTCCGGTGTGTATGTACAGTCGGACGCGAGTGCTTCCACCGGGAGAACTCTGGTGGCCATCACAGCACTTCACACATAGCTATTTTTTCTAGTCCACAGCCAAACACGCCGCCGAGTACGTTTGTATTCCCGTTTTACTCTTCCTTGCCATTCGCTTTTCCTCTTCTCTGGCAGGTATCTTTGTCACACTTTCTCCTAGAAATAGTCCACGGCAGTGCACTGTTTCATTTCTCTAAACGCTTGCCTTCTGATCTCTTAGTCCCAGTATTTCCGGCCACTCGTTACATTGATCAGCACAATTCTGTTTGTACATGTTCACCGACTGTTTTCTCTTGTACTTTTGTGTTCCTGCTTGTATTAGCAGTGTTAGTGATAGCTGCTAGCCGACGCTGCCTTGATCTGCGGCCTCCACCTGTCTTACCCGCTTTGGTGGTTGCCACTGTACTACTACTCCTGGTACAGCTGTACATCCATTCCATGCTCTCTGGTTTCGTTGTACATGAATGCGCATTCTCTCCGGTTTCGCTTCTTGCGACAGAGGAGATTCTTTCCGTTTGTCGTGCCGGCCTGTTTGCCCTGGTTTTCGCACGATGTCCGTCTTGCCCGCACATTTGTCACGCCGTATACATGAATAGTATGAATGTTTGCTTCCGGGGGAATTCCCCCCATTCATGTTCAATTCATAGAGTATAGACTATAGTACAATCTATTAGCTTTCTGAGCTACACTGTCCACAGACTATAATTTTTCTTCTTTCTTGAAAGTATAGACTGGAATTACCACCGCTCTTCATTTTAGATTGCTTGCCGTATGCATCAATGCCATCATCTCGTATACCGAATTGAATTTTTCTCCTTTCTGTAGCCGGCGACGACGGTTGCGTTCATGTTTGTCATGGGCTTATGGCTCTGTCATCTTTCTCTGTTCTAGTGGGACTCCACAAACGATGCGGTACACACTACTCGGTATTGGCTGTTGTTCAGGCAACTATCCACCGAACAGTGTTCTGTTCTTGTCTTGTTGGAATGTCTCGTCTCGTTGCTCCAAATTAACGTTTGGTGCTATAAATATGGCATTATAGTTTGCTTTCTGAAAGTATGTTTTCGCTGGTGTGTGTGTGTGTGTGTGTGTGGTGTGTATGTGTGTTTGTGTGTGTGTGTGTACGCGTGTGTGTGTGTGTGTGTGTGTGTACGCGTGTGTGTGTGTTGGGGGGGGGGGGTGGGGTGTGTTACGTATGTAAACCACTATCCTGGCCCTGGAGTGGAGTGAAAGTACTAGTACATGTATCATAGAGAACCATATGACGGGTGTTGCAACTTCTGTAAAAGCAGAAATTTTCGGTGGTGTTTTATTTTCGGTAACGACAATTTTTACCGAAAATAAAACGAACCGAAAATGTCGGTACAACCGATACTGTATACCGGTATACATGTACAGTGGTCCCTCTATAATCCGGCACCATTTGTGCCACGAAAATCTGCTGGATTAGGGAGGGTGCTGGATTAACAAATCTGATCTACTGCTGCAATGTGCATGAAGAGGACATTTGGCTACTGAACATTGTGCCGGTTTATCGAGGGTGCTGGATTATAAAGTGCCGGATTAGAGAGGGACGACTGTAGTACAAGAACACTTACCTGGAGAACGGGTTTTACCGAAAATTTCCCTCTACCGAACCGCCGATTTGGGAGAATACCGAAAATTTCTGCTTTTACAGTACATGACATTGTACTGGTTGTAGCCAGGTAGGTGTAGATTTCAGCAACAATAATGTAGACATGCAGACTGCAGTACAGTTGTCGATGGTTCATCCTTCACACGGGCATTGCATGCCGAGCTGGAAGGCGCGCACTGTGCGGTTCCGGACTCCGGAGCACCGGTACGCGGTGCACCGGTGTACGTGTGACAGCACCTCAGAGGCGTAAACAATGCATGGTAAACCTCACGTTGCCGGGCCTGTGATGGTGTGAAACTGGTTCTGGCACCTTGCCATTGGCTCTCCTTCCAGCGCAGAAGGGTCGAGGTTTCGGTGCACAAGCTCACTGAGTGTGAAGGCTCTTCAGGCGCCAGTTGATTTCACTTGTAGATGAATGATTGAAGATATCAACAACGAATCATTTCCCTTGTGGTGTAGAACTGACGAGAGGCATGTTTCGCTAGCTCTTGCGTACTCAGCTCTCGTGTCCACAGGAAAAGCTGTTGCGAGCATTTCCAGGACGAAGGAGTGGCTGTCTGTTCTGGCTGGTTGAGTGAACGGCCGGCTTCGCCATATCGGGCGGCGTTGAAGGTCGAACGGCGCGCGCGCGGTGGTCGACATAGCCGTTTCGGGTGAGCAGCGACATAAGGACACCAGGCACACGACTCCCTTATGGGCCGCTAGAAAGAATGGCGGGCCGACACGAGCAGTTACGGATATCACGGATTTCCGGTCTGCAAGCAAGCGCGAGCCCAGTTTGGCGGTAGCTGACAAGCGACTGTAGCTACATAGTCAGGCCCAGAGCAGAACTGCTAAGGAGTGCGGCGGCATTGCAAACGACCTTCTAGCCAACCTACTACTATTGTGAGCGACTATGCCGAAGCTATTACCATCTTTCCAACTGACTGATGAACGCAAGCGTCTGCACGTAAGCAAAGCAATGGCGAGTGCAAGGCAGAAACGAAGCAAGGAGGAGGAGAAATAATTAATTGACGCTCATATCCGCGCAGAAGGAGGAAGTAAAGGCTAAGTGGGTTGCTGGCGGAAAACGTCAAGCTGAGCCATGTCGCTGCCCGGCGGTGTAGCTAGCGCAGCCAGTGCAGGTCAAAACCTCAGCGCACCGACCTTTCAACAGCTGGCTAAGAAGTAAGATTGCAAGTACAGTCGACTCCTGATATAACGAACACCTGTGCAGGAGAATTAGTTCTTTATAGTTATAGCCGAAGTTCGTTATAACAGCAATGCACTCACACCATACAAGCAGCAAGTCATGACTGGAAAGTGGTCCATGACAGTGTGAATGCACTTGGTTTACATGCAGCCCTACAAGATTTGGTTCTATAAACGAAACTGTTCGCTACAAAGGGTCAGTTTTGTATGGGTTCAAACAAGGGCATGGACAAGGGTTCGCTATAATTATCACAAAATCCGCTCTAATGCTAGTTCGTTATACATGTGAGTGGAGTCGACTGTGTACCATGTAAAAGTCTTGCTCAATGCAAACCAGGTGCGCCTGCGAACACTGGGTGAAATGGTGCAAGGCGCAAATTACTTGAGTGGATTTCATTGAGCCGGACTGTAGATCTACATGATGGATACAGCTTGGGACTTAGTTGGCATACATGCATGCAGAGTAGGGTTTTCTTATTATTATTTCGCACCAAGTTATTCTTTTTGTGGTATTCTCTAGCTTCTGTTTGTTTTGCAGTCGTTCTTGTTCCATCCCCCCCCCCCCTATTTTTCGATGCCTAGTTGCAACGCTGACGCCGAGACTTCTGGTCGGCTGAGTTGCTCCCAGCACATCGGCACGTCGTCCCTTCAGGCTACACTCCCTATGTTTTGTCCTTTTCCTCGTTTCTTTTTGTTCTCCACCTGTTTTCCAGTTCCAGTAGGGCCGTGTTAATATTCCTCCCCCCCCCCCCCCTTGGCTAGAACCAGGGTGTTATGCTACTGCAGCTTGTTCACATCGTGATACATCAATAACTTGCATGGAGATGACTTGTAATAAAATAAGTCTCACGACCATGCCACACACGCACACACGCACACACACACACGCACACACGCCACACACACACACACACACACACACACACACACACACACACACACACACGCACACCCCGCAAGTAGCTGTTATGATCTGATTGAGGTGCTCGCTGGTCAATGAAACTCAGTGATGCAGCCTTCAAGTCCCCCTACATGTCCCACACACCAATCGTGTAAGAAAGACAGCGGTGACACAGTTGATGATTACAGAATAATAATCTCAATGGCCGCCGCGGAACAATGCAAAAACAATTACGATTACATCTCAACCTAATCTGTGTGAGCTGGCAAGAAAGCTTCAATCTTTTGTCGTGAAAAAGAAAAAAAGGTGAAGGGATAAATTCAAGTTGCCATCTAGTAAAGATTTAATTGCTGTGCAGTATGTACATTCACAATTCATGAGCAGTTAGTTGTGGTAAGAAGGAATGCAAGTCCAGGTAGGGTCAACACACTTCCCTAAATATGGACGTTCATAGTTGCCAGTCCAAAATATTATAATCTAGTAGATCTTCTCCACATTCTATTTTTACCATACAATCCCTATAATGTGTAAATCTACCTTTTAGAATAAAATAAGATTTTCCTCAACTACTCGGCTACGGCATATACGACGACTGTTGGCCATACCGATTGGCGTAGGCCTCCAATACACATACACATTACCATTATGTTGAGCATACACCACAGCTTGGCTAGGAGGATTAACGCAATCGTCACAGGACCTCCTCTAGGTCTACTTCCTGTGCCTTTAGAAGGAGAACTACTGTAATCATCGAAGGACCTCTTGATCTGCTTGAACTGGACTGTAGTTTGGCTAGGAGGACTGCTGCAATCGTCACGGGAATTCAGCCGTGGAAATGCTCCGCGGTGCAAGATCTCTAGGTATGCTTGAGCTGGATGAAGCCTGGATAGGAGAACTCGGACTGCAATTGTCGTAGGACCTCTAGATCTGCTTGAGCTGGACTACAGCTTGGCTAGGAGGATTGCTGCAATCGTCGCAGGACTTCCGCCGCGGAGACCCTCGGCGGTGCTGGATCTCTAGATCGGTTTAAACTAGACACCCCTGTGCCACCACCAGCGCCACCACCACCATTGCCCCCACTCCCGTCACTAATCTCCATAATGGGTAGAGTTGCAGTCGATGGGCCACCACTGCTCAAGCTCAGGAGAGAGGATTGCGATGGCGGGCTCAGCAAGGCGGAGTTGCGTGGCGAGTGCATGACCTCGTAGTCGCTGTACGGATCATCGGGATTTACCTGCTGGGATCGCGAGCGGTTCAAGTTCTCGTACACCGGGGTCGGCCGCTGACTGGATTCCGCTCCGGTATTCATATAGATCGACTCCATGACGTTCAAACTGTTGGAGCGACGGCTGTGCGACGGAGGGACGTCACCTGCAGACGTGTTGCCTCCACCACCGGCAGTGGGCAGAGCTGGCTGTGTGTTTGCACGGCGAACTGGTGACGCCAGTGTGGCCGTTGCCGAAACACTGACGTGCGATGGGAATGTATCCGGGTTAGCTGCGTACTCATGGTACGTAGGTAGGCTGGTATTGGACACGGTTGAGATGCCACTATCAACCGAAGAGCTCGGTGGAACTGCGACATTCAAGTGCAGCGGCTGCTGGTGTTGAAGTGAAGGTTGTTTTCTGCTGGCAGGCGGTGGCAGGCTGGTACTGGAGCGCAGAGCTGAAGCAGATACACTCCGTTGCGCCGACAGCGTCTTGACAATATCACCATGATTACTTGTCTCGGTCATGCCCAGCTTGCGCGGCGACGGGTGGCGTTTGGGAGGCGACGTCGTGTTCACCTTGTTGCCGACGATGATCGATGATGACCTGGCGTAGGGCTGGACGGCATTATCCTCGACTGGCATGTCGGTCGTTGTTCCACCGCGCTGTTGCTGTGACAACAGTATGTCGGGTGACTCTATGCTGTCCGGTGTGGACATGGTCGCTCTGAACTCGTCAGACTGCGCTTCGCCAACTCTCCCCAGCGACGAGGACTTCCTGCCGTAGCTGAACTGGCTGTTGCTAAGCTGGTTGTTGCTATGCTGGTTGTCTCGGGATAGCGAGCAGAAGCCGGAGTCGGGGGAGCGTAGACTGTCTACACTGCTGGAGCTAAGATTGCGAGCTTCTCGCGACAAGCTGAGTGATCGTGGAGGAGCGGACGGTGGTAGTAGATCATCATCGCCAGCACCACTGCCATTTGTAGCGTGGCCTGCTGTTGCCACTGCCGTTGTCCGTGATGATGCCGTGCATAGCCTGTGTGTAGCCGTGCTGTCTGCGGTGGCAGCGGCGGCGGCGGGTGTGGACGTACAGGTGGTGTGTGCGCGTGGCCGGTGTTCGTGATGAGAGGAGGTGCTGCAGGACACGCAGCTGCTGTCGTGACTCTCCACGCTGTCAATGGACGAGCGGTGCTCCATGCTGGCAGCCTGTAGTGCACACGCATAACATGCACATGCGCATACAGTTCAGGTATATGTGAGCGTGTATAAACAGTGCAAACATAAGCATATGCAGTGCATACAAGCACACACACGCACGCACGCACGCGCGCACGCACGCACGCACGCACGCACACACACACACACACACACACACACACACACATGCCATACAGTGCAGACACAGCATGCATGTTCGTACAGTGCAAGCATAAACCCGCATGTACAGACAGTACAGGCATAAGCGCAGGCGTGTACGTTCGTGAACATACAACGACACAACAACCAAAGACACACAACGACACAATTGGCACTTAGCAGTTACAGCCAACTTCATAAGTTAGGGTCATGGAAGATTAGAATGCAGCCCCTGAAGAATGCAGCCCCTGAAGAAAACTTTGCAGCCTACTAGTACTGTTGAGGGGAATATCTATGCACAAAGGATCGTTTCTAATTTCTATCCAGGCAGTAAAGGAAATCTGAGAGCGTGCGCTATACGTGAGAGACAACTCTCAGGCCAAACTTACCGATGGCGGCGATTCTCCATCTGCCGATACACCATCCGCCTGCAGTCGCCGTGCGTTGACGTTGACTCTACGCTTGCGTTTGAGCAGCACACGCCGCGGCAGCGGGTTCAGCGCTGCTTCTGCTGCACAGCCGCCAGCGAGGGTACATGCTGCCGCCGTCGCCGTGCTTCCGTCCTTCATCATTGCCGCTACAGCGCTCGCCTCCTTGGCAGCATTGTACGCCATTGTTTGGTTGCCCGTACCGTCGGCTTCATCATCACTGTATTCTGTGTGGCCTGCGTCTTCACGCTGGCTGGAATGTGCCGCTGCGGCAGAATCAGAGTCTTGCAAAGCAACATAGCTGGATGGATTGCTGCTGCCGCCGCTGCGGCCGTTACTAAACTCACCGCTCTTGCGCTGTGTGATATCCGGTGACCAGTCAGAGCTTGCCACGGGGATTGACGGCTGTGTCAATGGTGATGCGCCGGTCTTCAGGTTACGTTCGCTCAGACGATGACTACTGCCGCGATTGACGACTCTACGCGCCGTCGCTGCAGACGCTGTCGAACCGACACTAAGGGTGCGTGCGCTACTCTGCCGGCACACCAGCAAGGTGACATCATCCTGCAGAGGCATGATGTCATCGTCCAGCTGACGGTCGTTGATCCTAAGCACGACGTCGCCGACTTTCAGTCCGCCAACGTGCGCAGGCGACCCGTGAACAATCGTGTCCACAATCCACGCATGACCACCGTTGCCGGAGTCGAGTGGGTGCTTGCGTAGAGAGAAGCCGCACTGTGAATCCTTGGCCAAGGTCAAACGTATGTTGAGATTGTAGGCGTCGGGTAATGGCAGCAGTGGCGTGCCAGTGGATGAATCTACACGGCTAGTGCTTGTCACACTGCCATGAGCATCAGTGTTGCCAGAGTTTGTGTTGTTAGCACTGTTAGCAGCACTATTAGCAGCAAGTTTAGCAGCACCAAGCAGCCTGCTGAGTGTGCTGGAGGAGAGCTGGAAGGACCTGGGAGCGGTGATGCTGGAGCACTCGTACGCCTGTTCCTCATAGCATTCACCGGCAACCAGCGACGACGTGTGACTGACGGTGTCGTACTCGCTGCCGCGCAGCGTGTCCTCCGAACACAGCGACGACTTGTCCGCTGTCATGCGCCGGCTGTGCAAAGACATGGCATCCTCCGACCACACAGCGTCCAGTGGTGACCCGGAGCGTACTTCCCCAACACCGCTGATGTCGATCGCTGGCGTGTTAACCAGCATCGAACGACGGCGAGCCAAGTAGGCGTCGCGATCCGCCTCCGTTTTCCCCGGCACCTGTGGCACGTGGTAGTCAGTGCACAGGAAGTCCGAGACCGACTTCATGAAGCGTCGGCTGTTGCGCCGATGTTTGTCCACGCTAGGTGCCCGTGTACGCATCAATGGGTCCAGTTCAGACAGTATGGCCATGTCGAGGCGTTTGTTACTGCCTGTCACCTCTTCTGCCATCTCCTCCTCTTCTTCTTCGTCCTTGTCCTCGTCGGCAAAAGGGTCGTCGGTGAGCTTAGCCGTGTCGATGCCAAGACTCAGTGCCGTGACGTCTTCACTGCTGTCTTCCTTGTTGTCCGCGTCGGAGTCACTGAGTGACGGAGCCACAGCCTGGGAGTGGGACAATGACACACACACACACACACAAACACACGCACGTACAAGCACACATGCACGCACACACACATACGTACACCCACGTACACACATACACATACACACAATACACAGCAGCACAAAGCCACAGTGAGACTTCAAGTATCCGGAATGGAACATTCATGATTGTCAGTGGCGTGCACCGAGTCTTGAAAGGGGGGTTTCTAGAGTTGGTAAAAAAATTCTGGAGACCCACTGTATAATAATGTATTTTGTGCACATGAGCTTCCCCCGAACATCCCGTCGGAGTTAACGGCGAGGGCTAGGGAGGAGGCTAGGGGGGGGGGGGGGGACTCAAGATCAGGGGTGCAGGGAACCAATGAACACTGGAGCTGATGAGATGCGGGGCTCGTCCGACTGATATCATTAGATCATGCCGGCACAAACGCGTCTGAGAGGGCAACCAGGTACAGGGGTAGAAAGGACAGAAATAAGAGTAATGAGGAATGGAGGGAGGGGACGATGTTACATGGAAATGTTGGTACATGTATGACCGGTAGCAGGATAAAACGGGTTACCTTTTACATACCAGCACTTCAAAAAGTATTTGCAAAGAGGGTGCAAAAGTCAATGCACTCATATACAATCACATGTTTGTCAAGCCTGTAAAAGTAGTTTGATAGGCCTTGCCGCCCAGGCTACATGTGTACACTACAGTCTATAAGTATAACACTATGTCTATGGTACTTCACTAATCCACTCCATGCAGGCATGTTTGTAACTTCAAAACACTGCTTACATTCGACGTATTTTTCTTTCTGTTCTTATGACGAAGTTTTCGGCATGTATTGGCAATGTTCCACATGATTTCAATAAAGAGTTATGGACCTTGCTTCGATGGAAGCTCGCGGGAGAAAAGCGAAGCCCCGCGTCCTTGAGTCGCGGCCCGAGCAGCGCTTCGTTCTGAAGCAGCTCAAGTGGATCATGGACGCACATTTTTACGTCTTCCAGTCGACAACGTTTTTGACGAACATCTCTGCTGCGCACATGAGCGAGAACGAAAGGCTTTCATCTTGATTTGAGTCAACAGTTTGGAAGGAGATATCGTCAATCATATCCTTGAACGGACTTGCATCGCGCGTGCTTGACTCAAATTTCGAGGCAAAACGGATTTCTTGAACGTCATCGCCAATCCAGGAGCGAACCAGAGCTAGCCTAGACTATCGATCTCTCTGTGGCTACTCTCCACTGAAGAAAGAGAGAATAATGTATTTTGAACTGCATGCAAAGCAACTCTCTCTCTCACTTCGAAATAAGGACATAGTCACTGTACTGTAAACTGCCCGTCGATCGACGTGTATGCAGAATAACCAATCCAGTACGAGCGTAGGCACGCTTTTCCTTTGGCAAGATTGCCCGAAAAAAGGTGGTTTCCAGACACCAAAAAACTCATACGGTGCACGCGCCTGATTGTATAGGTTATAAGATATAAAACGAAAGAAGAGACAATCAGCACTAACAATACCTAGACTTTTCAGTGTAAACGGAGAAACTTTTTCGGAAAATATCGAAAAGTCAAAAGTTCGTTCACCGGTTACAAAAGTGATGTCCAGTGAAATTTGCCCACTACTGTAAGTCTAAAAATGTTCGGCCCATTCAAATTTCGGCCTCACAGGGCTAAAACACATTTCGGCCGCATCAAATTTTCGGCCTGTACTGCTGCTGCCTGAATACACTGTCACACTGAACCTTGCAGAACAAATTTTGCCCGCAACAATTTTTCGGCCAAACATGACCAGGCTGAAAATAGCCGAAATAAATACGCGCCGAAAATTAAATTTTATTGACTTGCAGTAGGTAACATAGCACCTAGCACAGGATCATGAACACTATTCCGTGCACTCAAGCGTGGCATACGATATTCATGCAGCCGAATTCCATTTCAGAGTCCACTGCATATGTTGTATGTGTCTGACAAGGCACGGCACACTGCATGGCGGACATCATTCCGCGAACTCGAACATGGCATTAATAAGCGTACAGCCGGATTATACAGTCCAGAACTGTAGTCAAATTTCACAGTCCACAGCTGTAGTCGGATTTCATACTCTAGAACTGTAGGTGGATTTCACACTCCAGAACTGTAGGCGGATTTCATACTCTAGAACTGAAGTCGGATTTCAAAGTCCAGAACTGTAGTGTTCGTAGTCCATTGCAAGGTTGAGTGCATTTGATAATTTCAGTGTAATGATCAATGTTGGTAGTCCACTCACCTCCAGCAGAATGTTGTCAGTTGATCCATGATCGCTTGATACTGACATCGGGTCAAACTCACCACTGCTACATGTGCTGGGTACACTGCTTGTGGACATCGTGTTGGAGGTGCTCGAGTCCAGGGATGCCTGTGTGGGTAGTGGAACACACACAAACACACCACATGCACACACACACACACACACACACACACACACACACACACACACACACACAAACCACACACACAAACCACACCCACAAACCACACACACACGCACACGCTCACACACGCACACGCTCACACACGCGCGCACACACACACACACACACACACACACACACACACACACACACACACACACATACGCACACAATAAACAGATGGACAAAAGCATACAAGCCAGTCATTCACACCTATCCATGCAAAAAGAGCATTAGAGCCCAAACAGCACTTGCATTATGAAATGGATTCACCAATAGATGTCTAGCCTATGCCCTCCATATCACTTCCTCGAGTATACCATATGATCAAATCGGGTAGGAACATTTGAAACATCCGCTGCTTGCCAATCTCTAGGAGGTTGAGATCGCCATGCTGGGGAAAACATCTGATTGTGAGACATGGACACACTCTGGCTGTTACAACTCACCTCTGATGAGTTGAGGTCTGTAGCGCAGCTGGTCAAGCAGAGGCTTCTTCTGAACAAGCTGCTAATAGAACCGATGCCACTCTCCTGCAGCCAACCACATGCATGAACACAGCAAGTTGAGCAACAATTAATCACATCATAGCTGTTACTAACATGTGTACACACACGTGTATGAACACAGATACGTACGCACACACGCACACACACACACACATACACACACACACACACACACACACACACACACACACACACATACACACACACACACATACACACACACACACACACACACATATATACACACACACACACACACACACACATACACACACACACACACACACACACACCTGCACATATGCACACACAACACACATGCACACACAATAAACACCCACCAACACACGTGTTCGCTCAGGCACCCACCCCCAGGCCCGCCCACACATGAGCAAACAAGAGTGTGTATCACGATTTGGTCAGGGCAAATCCCACCACTAAGCACATCATAACATAGTTCCAAGCACTACCAGCCGACCAAATTATACAAATACATAGAGAACAGAATGCAATATGCAGAGCTCACTAACGTGTCAGTTTGTGCACTCTGGCAAGGTACGTTCGGGCCTGGTCTAAATCAGGCTTTGGGAAATTTATTTTTCATTGCGATCAGGTCCGGTCTCATTTTCTCTGTGCTGCGCTGATGAGTCCACTAAGGACAAAGAGAACAGAATTGTGTGTGCAGGATCAGAACATGCAATTAGCTTACACTGCTACTGACATCGGCTCCAGGTCGCGTCATGCGCTCGACTTTCAGCGTCAAGTCTGGTTTGAGCTCAGCAAACACGTCCTTCACGCGCTGCATGCTCTGGCACAGCAGGGAGTGATTGTTGATGGAAAGCAGGTGATCGCCAGCTCTGTAAACAGCAGAAGAGGGAAAGCAAGCACCGAAATCTCAACTTGAAATACAATGTGCTTTAGCCCCGTCACCGTTTGGCTCACCCGACCCTTGGAGACCAGCTGCTGGCAGGCTCCGAAGATGGCTCTTCTCTCACACTCTATAGGATATGACAAACAGCCGCGGAGAAATGGCTACGCTCATCTTCTGGATCAGGAAATCAGTGCAGCATGTGATAAAAAAGCAGCATATTTGAAAATTTCCACCAGTACTTTCATCGCCTTTCTCTTCGTTTGGCTTCTAGCCTAAGACTTTTGCTCAGTCTCTTCTCCTGTCCCCCAGGGTCAGCTTACCTGAGGTGGCAGGCTGCCTCGGATGACCTGTCCACTTTGAGTACATAGACCTGGCAGGAGTCTGCGTCTTTGTCTTGCACAACAGTGGGAGCAAACCCAAGGGTGTCACCTGCAAGGTACCAAGACACAGCAGTGAATACCTTTGAAAAGGGGAACGCAAGAAGGAACCTAGTGAGTTAGAAATAAAATTAGGGATTGGTGCGTGTGCGAGGCTGTCGGGGAGAGATTGAGGCGGTTTAAAATAAAAGCACTTGCAAAAATTGGATAAGAGTATGGTACAGTCACTACCACAGGTCAAGAGCGTACGCACATGCCGGGTAAGCATTCCCATACGTACGAGCACACACATGCAAATTTCCATACACACATACGAGCGAAAGCGACTTGTACACAAGCACAACACACACACACACACACACAGACACGCACCATCAGGGTTAAGAATATCTCACCGCAGTTGAAGGACACAAAGATCTGCTGTCGAATGCTGGGTGGTGCCTGATGACGGACCTCCAATGTAACCAGGCCACAGGCACTCTGGAAAGGAGAGAGTATCACCACACATTGAAACTGATGAAAGCAAACTACTGTACAACAAATACATACCACCGTAGCAAGAGGTTCACCAGGAAAATGAGTTTTATGAAATAAAATAAATGTGGCCATTGAAGTAAAATTCGAGCAGTATAAATTAGAATTCGCCCAGCACCAGCATTTAAGAGCAGTCCTTAGTGCATCTCAAAATCCACCCAGCCATCAACAAAAGAAAGGGTGATGAAGTACGATGCACGACAGAAAGATGAAAAGAACTCGAAGGATTGCGGAAGAGCACGGTTAGCAAATGGCAGAGCAAAGTGTATGAGCAGGCAGTCTTGAAACTCAAGTCACCCTGGCCTTATACTCTCATGTAGGTGGAGAATATAGAACTCCTGCACTAGCTTGTGACTCTAAACCTCTAGCCCTCAACAAGGTAGCAACAACACACGTGCAAACTGTGAGCCAACACCCAGGCCACTACAGCCGGGGGGGGGGGGGGGGGTTAAATGAAGTTCGAATTTGTAAATTTACACTAGAATCGTTGTGCACTGAACAGAACAGCATAATTCCTTCTAATGTTGGACGGCGCCCAGTGTGAGGTATGTCTCCTTTCCCCTGGATTTCAGCGAGAACACGTCAGACTTGGCTTAGCAAGGTCGCACTCACCTTTATCGCTAATTTAGCTTCTTGAAGTGTCATGCCCGATAGGTTCTGGCCGTTGGCAGCGATGATCTCATCACCTGCCGAGCAAGAACATGACATGCACACCACAGTCATGAAGAGTACATAGTGGACAATTGATTCTACTGCAGGAGCTCTCTCGTGCATTACGGGTGGGGAAATCAGTAGCTGTGGTTAAATTTGTCAAGGATTGTTGACGAAATCTGAGCAATTCCTACTGCTACGAGCAAACACATATTATTATCAGCTGCTCGCATATCACATGTATCAATCATTCATTCATTCTCTCTCTCTCTCTCTCTTTCTCTCTCTCTACATCATCTGGTTGCGACGTCAACAAAAACACTGGTCGGAAGATCCACTTTTCTGAGTTACTGTATGTGGGGCTCTGTTTATTGAGGTGCGTTGAAATTTATTCTCCTTATCTTATTATTTCTTTTCTATAATTTCCCCATATGAGTTCCTATCAGTTGCTGTGAACACCGTGAGTGGAGAGCGCTTGCTCGAGCGTTGAACCGGGTTCTTAATCCATCATACCCTGTTCGCAAGGCTGGGCGGGGTTGTGAGCAGGCTTTCATTTCATCTTTTCTTATTATTTCTTATTATTTCTGCTTTTCATCCCATTACAAAAATTCTGCGCCTTTTCTCCATCTGCGCATAAAATCTAGACTGACAACCTGCTTGTTAAATCATGCACCTGCTTTCAAGCGTAAAAACCCTGTTGTAGAGGTCTCAGTCCTCATTTGTTAGACTTACCTGTCTTTATAAATGTAACTTACTCTCTCTCTCTCTCTCTCCTCTCTCTCTCTCTCTCTCCCTCTCCCTCTCCCTCTCCCTCTCCCTCTCTCTCTCTCTCTCTCTCTCTCTCTCTCTCTCTCTCTCTCTCTCTCTCTCTCTCTCTCTCTCTCTCTCTCTCTCTCTCTCTCTCTCTCTCTCTCTCTCTCTCTCTCTCTCTCTCTCTCTCTCTCTCTCTCTCTCTCTCTCCCCTCTCTCTCTCTCTCTCTCTCTCTCTCTCCCTCTCACCTCGTTTCATCCTTCCATCTCTGTGTGCCAATAAGTCTGGCATGACACTCTTGACACACACTGGCCGACACGTGTTGTCGTCCATCCACCCACCGACAATGGTGAAGCCCAGCTTGCCAGCATGCATGGCAAGGACTATGGTCTCAGTTAGGACAAACTGACGCTTGCCTGTGGCGGCCGGGGAGTTGTTGGAGGACGAGTCGACACTGGAGTTGCGTGCCCATGCCTGAACGACTTGCTGCGGATGTGACGGCACCTGCTGCTGCTGCTGCTGTGTTGACAGAAGTGACTGAGGAGAAGCAGAGTCGTCAACGTCTGCTCCCACATTGTCACTGCTTCGCGTCAGCAGCTTGGCCAGGCGTGGGAACTTGCTCATCCGTTCGTCGCTGGGGGTCTGTGCCCCTGGCGGAATCTCGCGAGAACGTGGTCGATTCAGCAAGCTGAGGTGCTTGCTTCGAAGCTGTACACGACCAGGACTGCCCTCGTCGTTAGAGCCTGCGTCGGAGTGGTATGACCGTGAGCGAATGGGCACCTGTGAACCTGTTTCGGTGAAAATGTGATCACTACTGCCGCGACGAGAGAGCCGGTCGCGGCCTATCCGCTTGGCAGCCGCTGCAGGTATTTCCATGCCTGACCCGCCACTGGCCCCAGCACTGCTGCGAGAGACACCGGTGCCGGTCATCTTGGGCAAGTCCTCGGCAGATGTACATCGTCTTGGTAGGCTATCCTGTGTGTACGCAATCGTGTAGATATGTATGTGAAGACAAAACAAGAAAGGAAACATTTACATACATACACATACGCACACACCTACATGCACGCACACACACAAATACACACACACACACACAAACACACACACAAAAATACACACACACACAAACACACACACACACACACACAAACACACACACACACACACAAACACACACACACACACACACACACACACGACACTGCACGAAGCTACGCTATAGTATAGGGACAGCTTGACAGTGATGCTGGCAAACATGATGGCTTGCTAGTCAAAGCTAACCGCCATATGGACCCGCTCTTCTATAGCTGGTTTGTGGATTGGGGGTGAATAAATGCTGTTCTGTCCCCGATGCTGCATGCCGGTGGGACCTTTTCTGTGCATGCTGCATGAATGCTCATGCATGGCATTTAACTAGTGTATTCTAGCTATCTCCTCTTCCACCAAGATGCACCAAAACACAACTTGATTATTGGCATGTTTTCATCATGTAACTACACACAATGTCATAACAAACTTTTTCTATAATAATAACCATACCGCTTGCATGTCTTTATCTCTATACACTTCCTCATATAATTTCCCTCATCTTTCCGTGAGAACCGGACATATGGGCCGGTAAGAAGGCAATCCTGCCTGTGCAACTGGTGAGGTAAAATAAAATTCAACAACAACAACTTTATTTATATTGAATTGTATTTTATTATTTTACTTGGGCATTCCCGACAGACCCTAAGGTCTTCTTACAGGGTGCCCAAGATGAATGGATTTGTTAACCGTGATGTACATGTGATGCTGTGAGGCAGTTTGTGAATACTCCGGGTGAACTATGTCTTTTTTGAAGTACAGTCGTGGCTGAAGAGATCTGACACACTGGTCGAAAGCAGCACTGAGGCTCGTGGGGCCCCTGCGGTCCTCAGATCGGTTTTTAAAACATGCATGATGAAATTGAAATGGAAAAGCGGCGCTAGTTTTGACTCATGGGTCCGATATCTTGGACCACAACTGAGCAGTGTGACAAGAGGTGATGAAAGCCAGACAGTATTCTACTGAGACCAGGAATACATTTGTCAAACATGCTGCAAACCTAGGGAAGGCAGGCAGACATGACTGGGGTGCAGAAGTGGTCAAAACTAGAATCATAATTCACCACCACCAATCCATTGCACTCCGCCAGACTAGTTACAGGGACGGCGTCGGACACGCTACAGTCGCCATGGTATTGACCGTACCAGTACAGTCAACTTTGCTTATAACGACACTCGGCGGGGCATCAAAAAGGTGTCCTTATTCGCGAAGTGTCGTTATACCCGAAGTCTCATCATTATGTATCACAGTGGGATGGGACTTTGCTCTGGGCATGGAAATTCTGTTGTTATTCGCGAATTGTCGTTATATCCGCAGTCGTTATTAGCGAAGTTGACTGTATTTGCCTCAAGTACCCCGTGAATCAATAAAATACACTCATCCGGGCTCTAAATTTCCAAAATTTTCGGCTCAGCCACCCCTCCCCCACGAGTAAATTGTACTTCAGATGGCTGACCGTACCACACTAAACTACCTTCCCCATGCCCCTGAGTTCTTTATAACTTATTGTTCCTCCTGGAATGATTACTTGTATAGCCTATGCTTGGCTGTGCACTTCACACCTGAAATGATTGGCCAACCGGCCTCAGCCAATCAGAGTTCAGCAAGTGTTTATCCTCTTGGCTTGCTGATGGCTGTTGTTTCTGCATTTCTGCATGAGGAGGGAGAAAGAAGCCGGAAAATTCTACCGGAGAAGAAAATCTAAAATTCCCCTCCATCCCTACTTACCCCCGCCCATGTGACCGATGTCTCGGCCACAACCAGCTCCAGTGGGCCCTGCGAGGTGCGCAGTATTGAGATGACATCATCATGAGTCATACCCTCCGTGGCCAGGCTATTGATCTGCACTATGTGATCGCCTTGCTTGAGCTTACCACAGCTGTGCAGTCATAACAGGAGACAGAAGAAGCAGTGACAACAGTACATTCGTCATAACAAGAAGAAGAACAGCTTGCATATTACTTAGAATTGAGCTCTACGCATCTGTGAGTGAAAAGGTTCCATTCATATATGTTTTTGACTTAGACAAAGCCTTCAGGGACTGTGATGTTGGTTCTCTTCAGATTTAGTTTTAATGTTGCTCCCTCTGGTTGGTAGGATGCCCGCCTGGGTTTTTATATCTTCAGTGTGGAAAGCCATTTCCATAGCTTGGTAGGATGATACAGTGGTCATAGCTGGTTGTAATGATTACTCGTTGTACCGTCCTATCACTAACTTTGAACACAAGTGTCAAATTGGCCGTACTGATATCAGATTTTATATCCAAGCCATAATTAACTGCAAGTTTCGGACTAAGTAGAAAGCTGCACTCTGCTACAGTGCTGTTCACTACACTATCGTGACTGCCATACTCTGTTGATCAGATGTGTGTAGCCAATCTCCTTTGCTCAAGGGCCACACAGTGCGAGTACTGTATTTTCCGAAGTATAAGCCGCATTCACAGCTGTTCTGCTCTGCAGCATTGTTCCTCAAGATTCTGAGCTTTCTGTTTGTCGTCGTTATCATCATCCTGAATGGCACAAGTGAAGTAGGCATCCCCGTTTACATCGCGATAGTGCTTATAATAATATATTTATAAGCCGCATTGGACTATATACCATACCCAGATATTTCACTACAAAGTACAGACATCCACCCTGTAAATCGCCGTTCATTTGACCATCACAGTATAAGCGCCACTGACTGCTTGAGGGAATTGCAAGTATTTACAGTGCGGCTTATACTCCGGAAACTAGCGGAGCAAAAAAACTAGCAATAGATCATTGTTTGTCCACTTACCGGCCTGCACTGCTGTCAGGTTCAATGCGTCGAACAAGTACATCAATGTCACCAAGTAATGATCCCCTGCCGCCTTGAACCTCCAGACCATAGCCGACTAACGGGTCTTTGTCAATAACAATCTTCCGCTGGGAGTTTGACTGCAGTACGAAGTTTGAGTAAGGACATTTAGACAGACACGCACATGTACACACACATATACACACAGACGTAAACCATGAAGCAGGCGGGCAACAACTCTGATCCCATGCGCGTAGTTCAGTGACAACACGAAAAGCATGACGTCTGTGTTCGTGCCACATCAGATTTCTACCCCAACACTCGGCCTTTCTCTGTACTCACACCCTCTCACAGACGTCTTACCTTTGTCGATAGCTTGCGCTGCAGTCCTTTTAGTATGCTGATATCACCTCGTTTCAAACTGCTCGACTTCTGCTGTTGAACTGCGACTTGCTGCTGCAGCTGTAGTTGCTGTTGTTGTTGCTGCTGAGTCGGTGGCAGCGTAGATGCAGAGCGTGCCTTGCCACCGCTAGCAGCGTTCCCTGACTCAAACCCTGTGTCTGATGACGCTGAGCTTGTGGCTGCGGGTATGGACGAAGAGGAGCCCCAATGCTCTGCGGCCGAGCCAGGCAAGCAGCACGAATTGGCAAAGTCCCTGAATATCGGGTCTGCAGGCAGGAGAGAGACCGATGACAGATTGTAAGTGTGCGGCAGGTAATACCTTGTACAGGCACTTTCATCACAAGGTAGACACGGGTATGCCCTTACTGGGTTTCCCGAGTAAACCACACCATTCAATCTCAAACTGCCCAGATATGCACCTTCTCATAATACTATATCCCTGATGATGTGTCCTCCTTGGTGAACATTTAGAAGAAACAATCGTTGCGCGTGGTATGACCGCGGCCTTATATCAGCCATCATCTTCGTATCATTCTTCCTCCTGTATCCCTGAGGATGCCATCCTGGGGGAAACTTTGGAAACTATCGTTGTACCCAGTGTTGCCGAGGACTTTGTGTGTTGCGAGTTGGAGGTGTAGTGAAGAGATGACAAGGCGACAATCTAGTTTCAAAGTTCTGAAAATGATAGAGTAAGCTGATTGTAAACTATTACTGATCTGGTCAGTCTTCACCCCCCCCCCCCCCCCCCACTGTTACAGATTTCCCAGCTGGAACACCAGCGCCCTTTATCAATAAAACTTGCTACTCACAGCTCTATCAGTTTTTTTTATATATTTTTTTACAATGATGACAGCTCACAGGCAAAGACAAAAAATTGCATAGTGGGAGCATAGTCCCAATATTATACTAATACTGCAGCTGACATTGAAATCCGTTGAGAAATCAAGTGACCACGGGGCGCTGGCCTTGCAGCCGCGAGTACTTATGGTCTATTTTTTACAGTGTGCACGTGAACTACAGTTCATGTAAGCGCTAAAAGCAGATTTTTTTTTTTTCAAATGTCCGTGATAGTACAGTGCGTATCGGTTATAGCGTGGTCGTGTAAAAGAATATACTGCCTACAAGAATGAACTCTCATGTTTTCATAATCATAACATGGATTTCATGTGCACATTTATTCTTACAAGCAATTTTATCGTACAGTAGAATATATCGGTTCTAAGAATGGACTTTGTAGAGCGAAACATGCCAGATCAGTACAAAGTATATCGCCTGTAGTAATAACATCCGTCCAAAGCTGCAGTTCTGATCTGACTCGCGTTGGGCCCTAGTGCTGCAGGTTCAACTATTGTGGTCATGTAACTAATGTTGCAAAGCCACATGGTAAGCCTATGTGACTGTGACCAGCCGCATGCACAGTAGCACTACCTTGTATGTACGATGATCTTCCTGCCTCTGCGCACATGCACATGATATGTCACACTTGATTTATCGTGTGTAAGAAATATCGGAAATAAGAATAGAAAGTCGTTTTTCAAACACCCACGCTATAACCGATACCTACTGTACTTACTACCTAGTGACAACTTACCATCACCATCAGAGAGTGGGTACATTGGCTCTGACAGCAGACGTCGATGCTGAGCGTGAGCGTGATGACTGCGTCTGGACTTCGACTCACTACCACCACCACTGCTCTCCACTTCCTGTTCACTGTCACGTGACGTCGTCATTGACGTGGCTGCTGAGTCACTCTTGCAGCGGAAGTGTCGTTCCCGCAATGCCAATGCGGCCGGTGTGCCCACAACCCCCACCGCGAGAACCACACGACCTCCTCTCTCAGCTTCACCCAGCATTGCTCTGTAGAGCCAGAGAAGAACAGATGTACAGACAGGCCATAAAGCAATTGAGATGGAGAGAGATGGAGAGAGATGGAGAGAGAGAGAGAGAGAGAGAGAGAGAGAGAGAGTGTGAGTTGCCATGACCCAGTGAAGCAGTGCCCTGGTGTATTCGTTCTAGGCTTGTGCCATTCAGAATCATGAACATTTGTAACCAGACAGTAACATACAGACTGTCGAGGCTATAACTTTACTTTCCCTCGTCCAAATCAACTCTAGTTTTCTGCATACGATTCCTGGTGCTCCTGGCAATCAGATAGTACCACAAACAAAAATACGACTTTTTTGTGATAAGGTCTGTTTTCTCATCTGACGGCTCTGTTTGTATGCTCATTCCCACCCCTTTCGGAGCTGCATCAGTGCCTTGATCCTTGATGGAGGTGGCGTTCCTATGCATGCGGAAAACTCAATCTACACAAAGTCACACACTAACCGGTTTTTTTTCTGACTTCCTTTGCTATCCAGCAAGATACCAATCTACGCCCCCCCCCCCCCCCCCCCAACAGAATACACTGTTGCTGTCAGTGTGGCACACAGCGTAGCACCCACTGACCTGGCATCATGAAGAGATCTGCCCGGCACTGGTTGACTGTTGATCTCCAGTAGACGATCACCGGAGCGAATGAAGCCATGACGATCCGCCTCTCCACCATTCACTACTGTCTGTACAAAGATGTGACGACCCTGGAAGGTGCCATGGCACCAAACAGCAGAAAAGAGAAAGAGAGGCAAGGTGAAGGTCATGGAGAGCTACAGCTAACAAGGAATAGGACATGAACGTTCACCTGGCCTGGTGCTCAGAATAGTTTCCCTTGCCTTTGGTTTGCATCCGGGAATAGTACGGTACATTACCACAAATCATGGCATTGTACTGGCAACGGAAATACAATGAATGGAAATACAATACAAAATCGGTAAAAAGTACTACTTCGAAGTACAAGGAATAGGGAATTCACGCATTGTACAGTTAACGTACAGAATCCTGCAGAACCATGCCTGCTGAGTTGATTTCTGTTGTATGCCATACATAAAAGGACATTGGATCAAATTTGGCAACCCACATCTGCCAAGGGGATCTTGATTTGTTTTCTCTTTTCTCCTTTTTGTCAACTCCGGACGCCATCACTACAATAACCCTGTTGGGTATGCGTATTATGTCATGCTAGTGAGTCAACGAAACCGCTTATGGACGGTATGTATACAGCGTGTGCCAGTGGAACAGCTTATGGCGTCTAGAAAAAACTGTGAGTACTCGTGCAAATATTTCACCATGCTCTTAAAAATATTAAATACTTCACCCAGATCGCGGCTATTGACCGGGGTGATGACTGGAAGAGTGTATATAGCACACAACATGGGGCTGTGTGGGACGGGACGCATTCTTGCGGGCAACCGCAGCAAGGATTTCCTGCTTGATCAATATGCAAAGGTGACCAGGTGGCAAGCAGGCTACATAAAGATACAACACCAATGGACTCTATACACCGCAGCACTACTGCCAGCACATGTACACGTACACTGCGAGTGTACAGCGCTGTCGGGCGCGAAAGAACGGAGCGCCGAAGAAACCAGCAGGCTAGAATTTCACCAAGCACAGCATACCAATGTATACACAGTGACTCAACTGTGCATAGACTGTACTATATTATATACATGAAGATACAAACAGTCTACATAAAAAATATTATAGGCTAGCATGCTGATCCTGGTGGTGACAGTCACTTTCGTTCCTCAGACATTTCCCGCCACAAGTTTCATCTTTCCCTGAAACTAATGAATAACCTATGTTACAATGAAGAATAGCAATGCTACATTTTCGCACTCCACACATCCCAGATGTGTCATGGTGGTCATACAGGACAGGTTTCGTTACTGATGGGCAGATATCTAGCAGTTTATATCTACTGTACAGGCAGAAAATTTCGTCGGTGAATAATTTCGTCCAACTCCAAAGAAAGGGAGTTTGTCCGGTTGTAAATTTCGTCAATGGATCATAGGAGTGTATAGAAAAGCTGGACAAACCGACATTAGTCCGGCATTTAATTTAGTCCAAAAGCTCCTTGGACGAAAAGGACGAAGTTAAATTCCAGACAAATATTTCTGCTTATACAGTAGCAGTTTGCTGACTCCAAATATTACACTCTACAGCCTGTGTTTTTGAATGGCTTCATGACATACTTTCAGGGAACATTCCCTAGATATCAGGAGTTGAGACTAGTACAGTGCTGTTCAATGAAATCTGGTCGTGTCACTCGAGTTTGCGCCTTGCACCATTTCGCAGCTCAGTGTTCGCAGGTCTAGGGCTGCGCAACACCCGGCGGCGAGTACATGAGTGACGCGATTGGCTTGAGCAGTACTGTAGCTCCCCCAAGTGCCAGGACTGCAGGAGTGTGTTTTGTGAACCAAGAACCCAAAGTGGCTGGCCTTCCCCATCGGAAACCCACTTTTCTTGAAAAGGAAAGAATCTTGCTGACATGCAAGTATAATAAAAGAATCAGATTATTGTCAGATCTGGCCATGAGCTGGTATGGGTGTGACTTGGGCACAAGTGAACCAAGCAATGACCACCAGTGTTCCTTGGGCACCCTGTGAGAAGGCCATAGGCCTGTTGGGTATACAGTATTACGGTATACCCAAGTAAAAATATAATCTAATACTGTCTTTTACTAGAGAGAGTCTAGAGTGTGACTGTGAGGCATGATAGTGCATGAATCTGCAGTATTCGACCACAACAAGGGACACGGCCAGGGGTTGATGAATGAAAAACACAGCCATTCAATCACCAGCTTGTACTTCTTGTATAGGGTTAGTCGCCCAGATTGAAAGTAACAGTTAGCTAGTTGTTGAAACACCACCGACCACAGTGATTGAATCCCCCAGTTGGAATGCACCCCCTGAATGGACGAATACCACCTCTTTTCGGCCAAGGAACACACTGGTGACACTGAACTGTAGATTGGTGTCTGGAATTGTTCTGCTGGTCCATCAATGCCCCGTGGCCATGGCCATGCCATGCCTGGAGACACAATACACTCTACCCAACACTACCATTGCCAGTTCAGCATACACAAGCAAGTATTAGAATACCTGATATCAAGAATACCCCACATCAATGCCTATACATAAACATATTCCATAGACTTGTTCCAGACAGTGTTCATTAATCTTAGGCAACATCAGACAATAGGTGTTCTGGCCTCCCATTCTGTGAACTTCCAAAATGTCACAGCTCCTTCCACTCATGGCCAAGAACAAAGCAAGCACACCGCCACGTGTGAGGGGGAAGAAGGCTGTAACAGGAACACACACTGTGTGTGTGTGTGTGTGTGTGTGTGTGTGTGTGTGCATGAGTGTGTGTGTGTGTGTGTGTGTGTGTGTGTGTGTGTGTGTGTGTGTGTGTGTGTGTGTGTGTGTGTGAGTGTGTGTGTGTGTGTGTATGTGTGCGTGTGTATGTGTATGTGTGCGCGCACCTGTGTTTCTGTGCAGGCAGTCTCACAAATCTGGGTCTGCACACAGGGGTAACACTATCTGATCCTAGTCACATCCACCAGACAAAAGAGACCCAATGAAAACATACATTAGTACACACAGCACACTCTCTCTCTCTGTGACACCTCTGCTGTCATGCTAACAAAGGAGACCCAATGGAAAAACACATTACACACAGGCACCTCTCTGACAATGCTGCTGTCATGCAAACTAAACAATATCAACATGACAAGATGCTCAGCACCTGATCCACATACTGGACTACTAAGTACTAGTAGTAGTACTTGTAGTTATTATAGAGGACACAGATAGTGTGCTTATAAGGTAGCAATTGCGTTACTGAGTAGATAAACCACAGCTATGGTCCAAAGAATTATAAAATTGAACTCTCACTCCTCCCATCATCACCCGCCGACATCGAGTAACAAATTAATTGGACAACACAATTATTGCCATGTTGGGGGCATGGCTTGTTGAAAGATTTGCTCACCGACATCTCAAATGCTACATCAAGCACTTTCATACATACAATCTTTACTCTAAAAAACCTTGGCTCGCTGTAACTTCACCATCTGTTGGTACATATTTCCAGGTGAAGAAGGTGGACCATTGTGCATTCGTTCTCCAAACTATGAGCCGAAGCACAACAACTTGAACAAGTCACTGGACAGTTGAACGCTGCCCAGCACAAAAGCACAAATCGGACAAACTCCCGTCTTGAGTACTTGAGTAGTGCATTGCTGTGTGTCGTTCTCCGCAACACCTAGTTGCCTACTGTCGTACTGAGTGTTTGATTGATAGCTACCTGCCTACCCACCTGCCTACCTGAACCGACACCCAATAATTATTTCATGGAATTAATTTCTCCGCAGCAGAACCATTGGTGACTCCACAAACCCACCACAAATGCCGAGCATCAATGCAACACACACCTTCGCGCAGAACCTGGTCACTGCTCGAGGCCATGTGCACCCTATTCATACCCTTGCCACAAACACCTAGACGCCGAGTGACAACGCTACTTGGGCGCAGATCTACCGAACACTGCCAAGCCCAAGGCTCAGCGAGGAGGTTTTGCAGCTTTTTACTACGATGCACTGAAGACAAAATAATCTTGACGAAAAAATCGCGCCCCTTCATGTACCAGCAAGACACGACACGACACACACTTCGAAAGGCTAAAATCCGCCCAAGGAAGACACAACACACCACCATGCAATGACGAACAGTACTACATCCACAAACATAATAATAGTTCTACATGGGTGCTAACGAACTGTTGACACAGAAAACAGGATAGAAACCACACTGGCACACCATACCTTTGTCTTGGAACGGGCACCTCGTCCGTCATCAACACCTTCCGAACCGCTGCCATGACCGTCCCGACACTCGGAAACACGCTCCGACGAGATCGCCGTTTCATCTTCATCGACCGCATCGCGGTCGTCATCGCCCCCTTGACTGCTTTGCTCTGACCCAGCACTGGACGGACTAGCGTGCGTTCTCAAAGGTCCAGGGCGAATGCTAGACGACAGTTCACTAGGATCTTCATTGCAGAGCACCAGGCCGACACCAGGATCGCGAGTTACATTCTCGAACACACAGATTTTACCGCGTTTCTCCATCTTCATCTGGTACCGACTGGTGGTCGTGGATCGTCCGTGCCCATGAGCCACACGTCGACCGATCGACGTTCGCGGTGTCGTTTTGCTGCTCCTCCGCTGCTGGCTTCCTCTCTCCTCCAGCGCCGAAATGGCATCCGCCAGCGATCTGCTTTCCGTCTTGTTCTCCGCTTGCAGCGCCCAGCGAATTTTGTACAGGTTCCGAAGCTTGGCAACGTCATTTTCGTCCTGCTGCTGGGGCTGAGATTGAGGTTGACTGTGAGGGTGAGCCGTTTCCATCGGCAGGCCCAGAGTGGAGCTCAGCATAGCTGTATCCCGGACGAACCACGCTGATACCAGCCAGGCAGGGAGGACTAATCTCTAATCTCTTGTGACAGCTGCTCTTCACCAAAACGAACTCCACTCTCCAGCGAGGCTGGTCAACACACACGCACTTTTACCGGACTCTGCTCCTTATTTTCCGTACACTCGTAGGCACTGGACTCAGCCACGTTTCACTAACTTTCCTAGTCCAAATAGACGAACCACCGGAACTGGCGGAAGGGCAGAAGCGGCACACAAAACACACCCTGTCACTCTGGGAACCCCTGCATCCACGATACAACCAACGCGAACCTGCTGTCACATACTACATTTTGTAGAAATCAAACAGGGGTGCTTCTTCCGAACAGTGTGACACTTCTACGTGAAAATCCAGCTCGAACGATCCGGCGTTGGCACCTTAGCCCTTACTTCGGACGCAAGAAATACCTTCGAATCAGCTGAGCATGTAACTGTTGTTCGACATTTGCTCAGGCTAGCGTACGTGAAAGCGGCTACGAGACAACCGCTACAATCCGCTGCGCAGAACGTCTCCACAAGTGAGCAAAGGCTCCTCACGAACACCATCTGTCCACGCTTTTTCTTGGGCCGACTGCGACGTCCATTTTTCTTTCCTACTGAAGTGTGTGTGTGTGTGTGCGTATCCTCACTGCAGCTTTGGTAGGGAAATACTACTACTAGTACACTGACTGTAGTTACAGACAGACCAAGTAGAGGCAAAAACGCGCACGCTGATGCACTTCGAGATGGAGTAGAGAGTAGAGAAGAAATCTGTGGTGAGTTTTCTTGTCGCTGTGGCCCTACTCTCCGTATGTCTGCGCTCCAACACAAACAGAAAGGTGACAAAGCCGAAGTCCGATGCCAGGCAACCCTGGTCAGCTAGCTAGCGATGAATACGTGCGGAGATTGAGTAGTCGAGTACGATAGGCTTACGCGTGACAAGCCTAGCGCACCTGTCTGCGGATCACGACACTCTACAGCATAGCGACTACACTCACTACACTGCAGTCAGGGTAGACTCTACACTACAGACATGGATCTACGCTGCCGCAAACACCAAGCCTTGTTATGTGTGTAGATCTAGTACAACTACAAAGACTAATGCCATGGCAGCGTGATTGACTGCATGCATCCGGATGGGTTTTCATAAAAATATTTTTTATGTTGGCATCAACATGACAACAACACTGTAAAGTGTACTAAAGTCTGAGCTAAGAAGACAGTATTATAAAGAGTAAGAAAGGTGAATACTGAATAGGCATAGTGGTGGCCTGCGGATGCGAAGGATATGACTTGTATACTAGATTATAACAAGGGATCGAGTGTAATAAACACGAGATCCCTTTGTTATAATATATTTATACCTCTGCATATTCACTGTGTGTGGCCTCCTATTGTCGAGTATTGAGCCCTAATGGCTTGTTCTTCGCCAACAACTACTGCTAATTAAATATTTCCCTTAGTGGTGTACATGTATATGGAGATATACACCACAAAAAGGGAGGGCATGCCTAGGACTATCCTAGTTTTATATGGAGTGAGATGTGTTTCTGAACATTCAAGATATCAACTAATTTGCTTACTTTTTCAGTTTTTGTTACTTCTCAAGTGATAATGATGCCAACACACGTACACGGATCCCGCAAATACTGTATTCAGCAAATCAAACTCATTGTGATGATGTACATGATTTGTACATGATTGTTCATGATTGTATGGCTCATGACATGTCACGTACATGTATGTGTACGTGCATGACCTTTGAGAACTAGAGCGAGTAGAGGACATCGTACTGTTCTTTGGTGATGTTTTCGCTCGCCACAACACACGCATGACGAGGCTCACGTTTCCACTGATGACCGCGTCTGGCGGCGCGGGATGGCCGCGCGCTAGGTTACGCTGTACGTAGATCTACCATGTAGATCTACCGTCGAAGCGTCCGTACCGTGTCTTCCGGAGTTGGGATCGGGAGTTTGCTCGCCTCGCGCTCGACTGGAGCCTTATACAGACTACAATACATGACTGTACTGGCTGTGTCCGCTTTGTTAGTTTTAGGAAGCGTGCGTGCACCAAAACGACGAAAGAATTCTCAGTCTCTGACGGAATGGAATGTGATCATTTAGAAGGATACCTTCTGTCAGCGCCATGGCCGCAAGGTTCCACCAGTACAGTGACCACACGATGCGGAACGCCGCCTCCGGAGAGCCAAGGAAAGGAGCAGGACCAAGGAACTACAAGTACAAGTAACTTATTTACATCAAGAGTATAATTATAACCTAAGGCAGGGGGGTTATGTACTCTTGTTTACATGTAGCTGCACTGCGGTATACTACATACTACAGTATGTACCTGTAGTAGTACTGTCCACCAACACAACCAGTTACTGGACAATCAGCTCAAGCGATGACATTGCACGACACTCACGAAGTGTAAACTTAGGCCACCCTTTGTTAATTCATTGTTTAACGTCCTTTTTTTCGCGAAAAGGTACGGGGAGGGCGGAAAAAAAACAAAAGCCCATTCCAAAAACTAGAAACCCCAATCAAACATTTTGACCAGTAAAGCATG